GGCTAGTTTTGGGTTCGTTTTAGTACCTGAAATGGAGCTCCTCCTCTCAGCGACTACGTTACGCACTTTCTGGTTTGTATCGCGCACTGAGCTGTCCAGCAGAGAGCCAGCAACTCACATCAAAAGGAGACGGTCGACCCAACACAAAAAGACATCAAAACAACGCAAAAGGGAAACAAATTCAAAAACAGGGATGAAGGGAGGGAGAGGGGTGAGATCCCAACTCTAAATAGGAACTTAGTGGGGAAAGTTGGGCCTTAGGGCTCATGGCAGGATCGAATGGTATCTGACTGACTTGTTTATCAGCACGCAATGTGGCAGCCCACATGGTCTTATGACTGATGTTGCCACTGCATTAATTCGGTGAATTTGCAAAATGCAATTGTCTTTCCGGCTTGACAAGCGACCTGGCGAGAGCCATCTGGCGTTGGACGGAAAAAAAACGCAATGTGACAGTCCAGCTGTTCTCGAGCGCGCATGAAACTACAATACGTTGCTCTTGTTCGGTTGCAGATTGTCGTAGCGCATCGCATTTTGCTGTAAATGCATCAACATCTTCTTGGGACACTCGGCGCCTCAACATTCGACTTGGGAAGCCAAATGTTCGCCAGTCGTCCTCGTGGTGCAGTTGGTATCGCGGCACTCTTGTGTCGCTGACAGACTGCCGGTGGTGGTTCGATTCCCCGCTGGTCCGCGAGTAAGACTCAAGACCGTAGACTCGCCGAAAGGCAACGGGCTCCGTCATTAAAAAATGGGAAGTCAAATGTTCGCCAGTGTTTCTGTAACGTCGCATCCGAGAACCAGTTAGCAGGCGAATGGTGAAGTACCCACCCTGTCAGGGTGTCGGCATTGACGAGCCAAGATGAGAAACACATGCTTATGTTCCAATCACCCATATAGCATAGCAGCAAATTGATGCAAACTTTTCTTGTAATGCCGGTGACACTCTGCAGGTGCCTGAACAATACTCTGCCTAACATTATGACATTTTTATGCCCAATACCATCATTACACCTTTGCATGACGCTCTTTACCAATTGAGTGCGACTGGTAATCGCTGTTTGCCTTGTTACCTCAGAGAGACATTGACGTGGTCTACCGCACAGCTTCCTATTGGCCCTCTCTGGTTCTTTGACAATGACGACAATACTGATCTCTTCAGCTATACAAGGATTGCTTGTCGGAGACTGGCTGTCCGGCTCTGCCCAGGTCACCTGCGTCCATCAGGACTACTTTGCCGTTCCCCCTCTCTGGGGGGGACGGCCTGCCAGCAGACATACCGAGATACGTATGGGCTGCTGCTCTCAACTTGAGCGCTGGATAGCAAAGCTTCTCTTTCTACCCAGAGGTCACACTATGGCGGATGCTAGCAAAAGCACACGTGAGAGGACTCTGAGAGGACGCTTCCGCAGTGTACAGCTTTTCAATTTGCTTTGCAATTACACTTGCACAATTTGAGTACTCTTCTGTCTCACTTTAGTCTGCTTAGTCAATGATGGATGTACACAATTAGTTTCGGTTTCTGCATGTTTTTGTGACATGGTGGGAAACTCCCCCTGTGTCCTGTGGCAAATCGTGGGTGATTTTCTGTTTGTGTTGGGCCCGGACCCTTTTCTTTTGTTGCTTTGCTGTTGCTTCCCTTGGCGAAACGCAAATCTGGCTGGGGGATTTGCGGGTCGTCTGCTGTCTTCGCGCCTTTGCCTTGTTTTGGTGATTGTTGATTTGCCAATGTACAGTACAGCTGGAACCACTGCGTTTCATGTAGAGTTTTTAATTAGTTTGACCTGTTTATACCAATTTCAGGACCAAGCCTTAGAGCGACATCGGCCAAACCAGAGGGAAAAAAAGGTGATGGTGAACATACCGCCCAATCAGTCTGTGAGACTCTTGCAACGAGTGATGTAGCTGAGATTTTGAGGGACCTCTATTTTTGGCAGTCGCTCGCTACAAGTATGAATTTTGCCGAGTTAACGGAGAAGATAACCACAGCGTTGTTTGTTCGGGTTTTCCGCTCATTTGCATAGTGACAGCCTATTGGACTGTGTACTGGTCCTCCGGCAGCACTACTTTTGCGGCCCATCACTCAATGATGGATTAATCACAATGCCTGAATTAATGAAACATGTTGCATGCCAAGAGAGCGTGTGAATCGACATGTCGAAAGCCAACGGGCGAATGGTGGAAAAAGTGTTGTGTACTTGTTCACTAATGTTTTGGGGTAGTAGGACTTCATCTACTAATGTTGTAACATTTTGGCTCAAGTTGGCTTTCATGCGTTCTATGCTTATTTTCTTGTTTTAAATGCTTCATTTTTCTCAGCTTAGACATTCAGCAACACTGGTTGGCTTTTTTTGCGTTTTCACACTGCAAGATTCTTTCAGTTGTTTCAATTCACAATACAACATTTCATATCATTCACTCGTTGGCATTGCTCGGGCGTGCGGGGCGCTTCATGTTTTTGGCCAGCGGTGGTGGGCCATCAAAATTTTTCAGTTGATTTTCACTGACCAACCAATTCGCAGAGCTTCGAACCATTTTTTGCTTCCCAGTACATTCCACCACTGGATCATTGGCCTTTTGAACCTCCAGTACATGGTCATTTGCATCTGGATGTGTACTATTTCAGCATTGCGGGCATTTCAGTGTGTCATACTTGTGTGACCTTCCGAACAGTGGATCCTCCGTGCTTGGCTCAGTCTTCGGCCTCAGCTTCACCTTGAATTTTACTTTCAATGGAGGTTGACAGTATTGAATATGACTGGATTTTGATTTCAGCTCCTACCCCAAAGCAACGAAGCGCCCCCAAATCTATTCCACCTCCGGTTTGTGATAGGGCTCCCAGTCTTGAACAACCTCTTGAACTAGGAGGTCGACCTGCACCTGAATTTTTTCAGACCAGTTTCTTTGACGACTCCTCCGACGTCGACCGTGCGACAGTGGGGTCCTGAGCCAACAGTAGAGGTCTATGTACATGTGCCACAGGATAGCAGCCAATACAAGATTTCCCGACATGTTTCAGTCCCACGTGGATGCACAGCAGGTTCACAGGTCGCAAGAGCCTCCAGCATTCCAAGGGATTTGATTGCACGTTGGCTGATCCTCATCAACAGTGTAGTCAACCTGTCACCTATTTGGCAGGCATATCATCAATCCCCTCAGTTTGAGGCGCATTGTCAACGATTACTGGCAACGTACGCACCTTCTACCTTGTTTAAATATATTACCCTGTTGCAATGCATTTACAGCATCTTATTGGACTTGGCCTGGAATTGGAAGGACATTGGATGCCATCGTTTGTCAGATTTGCTGCACATATCTCATGAAGGGAAGCACTCTGAATGGGGCTTCGGCACCTCCATAGCCATCCAGGCTCTGCGATGGGCTCAGACACTTTTGATGATTGCAAAATGGCAGATTTTGTATGACCCGATCGTTAACTCCTTCTTCAATCCAGGTAATCATGAACGACGGGAATCAATTCCTTTGAGTTTGTTTTTGGTGGTGCAATGGGAGCGACGGCTCCTTATGCAAGAATGCTCAGTTCAAGAACAAGTCTTATTGGGATGCCTTCTCTACGTATTATGGGGTGGCCTTCGTTTTGCCGTGGGCCCACAGATTTCACTGAAATCATTGTCATGGTGTGTTACTGCATTGCGAGGTTCATGTGATAGGAAGAAAACTTCACGATCAGGAAAACCTTGGGCAATCCAGGCACGTGGATTCCTTTCCCACAGCAGTTGGTCTTGGGTTGCGCAGTGGCTCTGGTCATTAGACATCATTTGGTCTTATTCTCACGACACCCCATCTGAGAATGCTTTTTTGCTGCTTATGACCCATGGCGATGGTTTTTCATGTCCATTTGTGCACATGCCATACTCTCAAGCATTACATTGGTTGCAATATTTTTGCATACTTCCCTGGAAGAATTCGGTGGTGCCAGCCTCAGCCAACCCCACTGACTATATACTGCTTTCGTTGAAGACCACCACATTGAGTTGGTCCAATCAGTTGGCACAAAAATGCTTGGTCACTGAAGAACAGCGTCATTTACAGGGTCATCATCGTCAAGGTAGCATGCAGCTTTACTCACGAGATGACACCGTTGGTCAGTTGGCGCTGCAGGATACCCGGATACAGCAGGTTCAATCTGATCACAGGTTTGTGACACCCCTTCACAGAGGATCTCCGCAACCGATCCACGAACCGGCTGGGCAGCTGGAGCGTTTCAACAAAGGGTATCAAACATACAACTGGAAGTTTTTCGATTTCAACAATGCTACAAATGATCCAATTTTGGAAGGGATTCCATCTTCACATGAACCAGCCACGGCTCCTCAGGCATCGTTGGAGTCCGTGGAATCATCACTGTCCTCGAGCAGCTCATCCTCATCTTTCGCTTCTGGCTCAGACACTGAGGAAGTCAATCTTGCTGACTCAGAGGAATTGGTGTTTGCTCGAGTTACCAGGATTCAACATACGATGCTTGTGGCAGACGATTGCTGTCAACCCAAATGGAATGATCAACTGTTTCGAGCAATATGCGGAGCCAGATTGCCCAGTGACACTTGAGTGTTTGATACACAGCTCAATCCGACACTTGGCATGTGTCGACATACAGCTTGCTTCAAGAGATGGCAACAGGCATCCGCTTTAGGAGAGTGATGCACCCCCTCCCTTGGTGGTCAAAAAACCTGCGGCAGCAGACTTAGCATGATTTAGTGCATTTCACCACCTTCATCACAGTTCAAGCTTGTTGCACAGTGCATTGCCTTCCTGTCAGGTGAAATTTTTCTTCGACGTAACTTAACGGTTCAAGCCCAAAAAAACAAAACCAAAAAAGGATTTTATGCAACAAAATCCCCATTATCTTAATGTTATAAATATGCCCATGTCAACAACTTGAACAGTGAGAGATTTCCGGGATTCGTGGACGTCAATTTAGGTCATGACTTTTTTGATTTGCGTTAGTTTGCGTTTTTCGACCTTCCTTTTGAGGGTGCATGGCTTTGCCCGATCTTGATGATCATTTGGCAGAAAATGGCGTTGACCCTGCTCTGTCATCCCATTTGATTTCGAGCGGCTGGAATTCACAAAATTTTTCAGCTGTAGTGGATTCAAAATCGGGATTTACAGATGAAATCTGGGCTGAATTTTCAGATCAACCGATTCCCCTTGTTCAGCGTGCAAACCTGAAAGTGGCTTGGCAGCGTCTTCAACCGGAGACTGTGTCTAGGGTGCGTGAATTATCAGATGGGGCGGCAGCACCATCCGCGGGTGTCCCGCAAGAGGGCTCTTGGGCGGAGTCGTTTGCTCCCAAGATTCAGTCCTCGACAGTTTCAAAACTTAAGAAACAATTTCTGGAAGATTACCCTAGTGAAGTACTCACCATGGAGACCATGCCGTCGACACGTTTGTTATCGCTTGCACACCATCAGCATTCCAAACAGGAATGCCGATGGATTCCCTGGAAATTCAGAATGACACAATCCAGAATGGAAGACATGGTCATTTATCAACGCCCAAAGACCCCGAAAATTGAAGGCCTTCAACTTCATCAGTTAATTTGGGATGAGCCCCCTTCTTTGGATATCAACAATCAAGGGATGGGAGTGAACGCAATCAGAAACATGCTGGAGGTGCACAATACAGCGTTAGCTCTGGTCGGGGCTTGTCATTTGCAACGACTTCGGGCTTACACGTTGAAATTTATGGGGTTCCTGACACAGCGCCTGGACTCCGATTCCGGACTCAGGCCACCGAATGTCCTGGAATCGCAAGCGGCTGACAAAGCCCTATGGCAGATGATACATGATTTGGTGATCGATCAGAAGTTTACGTTGGACAATGCTTTGCATGAGGTGACCCACCTGCGATCAGATATGGCTTCCCTCCTTCAGCCTCGGCCGAAGATATCAGTTCGCCCACCTTCCACATCCAGCTCTACAGTGGCCCCAGCTTCTGCCAAAGGTCGTGGGAAATCCAAAGGGAAGTCAAAACAGGGGGGCAAGAAAGGCGACACCCCTTCTCGTCCTACTTGGGTCACTGAAGCCAATGTTCAAGGAAAAAGACATCAGCTATGCATGCAATATCAATCCGGGAAGTGTCAAAAGGGTGACACCTGCAAGTTCAGCCACTTGTGTGCCCATCCGTTATCATCCGGTCAGGCGTGTGGACAGCCACACAGCGCATTTGATCATCAGCAACAACCTCACTGACTCTTGGCTGACCATGCAGATACATCAATGGTTTCACAAAAAGACGACCAGCCCCAGGTGCAGACTGGATCGCAGAACGATGTCCCTGAGGATTCAACAATGGTTGATCATTCAACAGATCCATCAGTTTCACATCCTCCATTAACAATTCCACCTTGGTTCCAACCTCTGTGGCTGTTTCATCACTTGACGGATTCAGAATTTTCCTGGATATTTGTGTGGGAGCAGACTACTTAATGACCTCAGCCATGCTCAATGGTGGATGCAAATGTTTACCGGTTGATAAGCTGATAGATGCCAAGATTGCGTTTTTGGATAACAATTTCTTCAAACCTTTGCTATGCATATGTACGTCGGGCATGATCGAGTATGGCACTGCAGCACCGAATTGTGGTGAATACAGTCGTCTTAAACTTCAACCAGGCGGACCTCCAGCTTTGAGAACCCCACCATTCTTGGACGGCATACCAAATTATGCCTAGCTGACCTGGGGAAGATTCAATCTAGCCATACTATGATGGCCCGCAGTGTTCTGTGCTTGGAATTCATTTTTGCAGCAGGAGGTCACGGGCACCTGCAATAGCCTACCAACTCAAGGGCTTGGCTTGAACCACCTGTACGACGATTACAACATTTGGTGCACTTTTCTTGGTTAAGTTTCCTGTTTGTGCTTACAATCGTAACTGGTAAAAAAGCTGGCTTATTTCCTGTACATACCCAGATATGAAATCCCTGGGTAAAATATGTGGCCCTCCTCCGGGCACTCACGAGCAAATTCAGAAACCCGGAATCCAGCCGGGTCATACAAAAGTCGAGCACCAGCTGAATATCCATCTTAGATGTGTTCTGCTATAGCGGATATCATATTACCACCCTGCTCTCCGGATTTGGACAACTTTGGACCTGTCTTCAGTGCAACAATATATTCCGGTCCAACACCTGAGTGATCTGCCAGTGAGCTATGAAGATGGTGGAGGTTTATTTTCTGAACCCGCCTGGAGTCGACCATTTCGAGATGTCACAGATACGTTTCAAGATTTTCGCAGGCAATGGGTGAAACTCTTGTTGAATAACGGTTTGGTTCCAAAAATGAAATCATTTTTCAATTCAAGGGATGCTCAACCACCTTTTACAGAAGCTGATTTGATCCCAATTAAACAAACCTTGACCGAATTTATCCAATCTCATAGACTGGTTCCTGATTGGTCGATCAGAGCAGCTCAACCCATGCAGCTTTCGATCATGGCAGCATTATCTCGCATTTTGGATGATCGAGCTACAACCTTATTTCCCAGGTTACTAGCAGGGGCCCCAACTGGTTTTGATGGCGACATTCCGCTTCTGGCTTTTTTCCCACAACGGAAGATAAGCGCGATGATACGGTACAACTGGCATTTCATTCAATCAATTGGCAGTCTGCAGAGTCCGATTTGCCTACGACACGCGACCTTGTCTTTCAAGAACTTGAAAAGGGATGGATTTACACATATACTGGCACTCTGGCAGATACACAATAAGAATTTGGTGACAAACTTTCCATCGGGACATTAGGCATGGCATTTAGCGACAGCCGGTCGCCAAGATTAGTTATTGACTCATCAATCTGCGGAGTTCACAATGGGTGCAGCATATTGGAGAAGACAACTCCTCCGAGTGCTCAGGATGTCATGCGAGTATACCCTTTAAGGAAATCCACCGAACATCAAATCAGCCCACCAGTTGGTTGTGATTCGCGAGTATGATCAAGGACTCCTGGGATTACCTTGGATGGGTCATCTATTTTTACACGGTAGCCCCATTCGGAGCCACTTTCAGTGCCTATCATTGGACTTACGTTGGCAGCTTCATTTGGCGCTGCATCCATTTTTTATCATGGTGGTCACACGCTGGATTCATATACGTTGATGCCTTCTTTTTCCTATTTCCTGAAAAGCTTGCATGGATCATGGCCCACTTGTGATGCATTCAGCACAGGTCTTGCACATCCCTATATCCTGGCGCTGAACTGAGTTTGGCCCACATGTCCAATGGATTGGCTGGCAATTCCACATCACAGCTGGATTTATTAGTTTGCCACAAAGCACCGTTGACAACCTGGCGGCGTACATCTCCTCGATGCGGAACTCATCCCGGACCTCAAAGAAATCCCTTGAGAAACTGGTGGGATTGTTCCATTGGATCATGCAATTCTTCTTATTGATGCGATGTGGGCTCCCCATTTGTATTGCGATTTATCTCATGTTCCAGCCAGCCATTACAGCTTTGATCCAGGACAAAGAAAACCTATCATTGATTGCCTGGATGATGGTTTTACAATTCTTGAAACTCCAACGAGCACAGGCACCTGAATTGACAGCACATTACTGGCAGTTCGACATCAAGCTGTCACTTGCACAGCGGATTTACATCAAGTTTATTCATCTACACGCAGGACTTGGCTGCGAGTTCGCGATCCTTCCTCAGTTCGCAGATCATTAAGCGCTGACTCTCATCGAGTCCTAAACCTTTATGCAGATTAGCTACAAGCAGTGCATTGGTTACATGTCTACGCCCCAAACAACTTTGGTCAGGGCGCTGTGCAGCAAATGCCATGGCCTCCACCAATATCTGTCAGATTGGGGGCCTTATTTATTTTCCATCGGGCACTGTCATTTGATTCAATGAAAAATTCATGCTTAATGTTTCTGCGGCACTGCACATTCCGGTCACCAAAGAAATGCAGAAGTGTATTGCATCCTTTGAAACCCTGGCTCAGATGGCGATGCGGTATATCTTCAGCTGCAGCTCTCCTGGTTTCAGATTTCTGCTACGGTTTCCTTCATTAACGGATAGCGTGGAACTAGATTTATCACATCTTTCTGGAAATCGAAATGACGAAGCTGAGACGATGAGCTGTTGGGACTTTGTTAGTGAACCACCTTTCCATCATGCATTGCACAATCGTTTTTCGAATATCGCTCCATCAACTTTAGCATCCGGAGACATCCGTCTCATTGCATCCGCCTGACACCTTTCTCTCATGGGAACATCCATAGCATCTATTTTCTCTCTCTTTCTAATCGACTGCCGGGATCCAACACTTTTTATTGGGATGGTTTATTGCGTTTGTTTCCCAACAGTCAGATAGGAAATGGGGGAAAGTATGACCATCAGACCATTGGGATAAAACCTTATAACATAGATCAAACAGATCTTTGTTGCTTTGAAATCGGATCCAACATCGGCAGTCGAAAAAGAGTGAGAAAGCGTTTAGCCTCGAGAACCGCAGGGTGATCAGTTATGTTTTAGGGTTTTTGTTATTTATTGTATATAAATAAATAACTATTATAGATGGAAGCCAACTTGAACCAGAACGTGTTGTGTACTTGTTCACTAATGTTTTGGGGTAGTAGGACTTCATCTACTAATGTTGTAACATTTTGGCTCAAGTTGGCTTTCATGCGTTCTATGCTTATTTTCTTGTTTTAAACCTCCCTCCCACACCTTATATATTTGGGGATGATATATAGTCTGTTTTTGGTTTCTACTTGCAGGATCACCAGTTTCACCTTCTTTCATTCGGTGGTGACTTCCACTAGCGTTTATTCCGCTTTCAGTCACTCAACATGACCATTTCGTTTTGCTCAGCGAACGCTGGCAGTCTTCGATGTGTCGAACGCGTTTCTACTTCCTCGGGATAACATTCCCTTCTTTCCTTTAAAACCTTATAACATAGATCAAACAGATCTTTGTTGCTTTGAAATCGGATCCAACATCGGCAGTCGAAAAAGAGTGAGAAAGCGTTTAGCCTCGAGAACCGCAGGGTGATCAGTTATGTTTTAGGGTTTTTGTTATTTGTTTATTGTATATAAATAAATAACTATTATAGATGGAAGCCAACTTGAACCAGAACAAAGGAGAAGATAACCACAGCGGTGTGGTACGATCGTCTGTTGCCCTAGCTCACTTAGGGTGTCCCCGTTTTGACAGGTTGCCCAAACTCCGGTAAGTTCACTCTGGCCCTCAACATTGTACAGTGCTTGGGTTTGGTCAGAACTCGAGCTACTTCGAAGAACTTTTGGTTATTTTCCCAGGACAGCAGACCTTATTTCAGTATTTCGGTTCTTTGCACGGACTCCTTTTATGATGGCAACGATTTCAAATGGGATCGCATGGAGCATTCAGTTGACTCCAAATTGGAGACGGGGAATTCAAAACAGGTGCGTTGATTAAGGAGGGCTATCATGCCTTTTCGTATCCGTACTATCTTTCCGCCACCATGGCGGTCTTGTCTTCTTCGGTTCCACTCATGCAAGAACGGGGCACCCCGCCCCAATCAATCAGGAAGCCCTAGTTGCATATATCAAAGATGCTTGGAAAAATGGAAGCCCCCAAATCATATGGAGTATTTGGCGCAGGCTCCTCAGAGGTGCGTCGGCATTCAACAGAAGGTCGTTGAGTAGCTGCTGAAGATTCGTCCAATTGGGACGGCATTCAACCCAGCGGACACAGGCACAAAGTGTTTGTCAAAGGCAAGGCCGGGTTGGGAAGTGTAACGTACCAACAGGTTTGTCTTTTGAGAAAACCTTGGTGTGGGGTGGGACGATCTTACTTACCGTAATCCACTCGTTGTTTCACTTGTATAGCTTTTTCACTTAACACGAGTTTGTGGTATAGTAACTCGACGTTAATCTGCCTCGTCCAGTTTTACCTGGGTATAAGTTGCGTCGCAGTGGTTTTACCCACTATCGTCTCGTGTCCCCCTCTCGTACGTTGCGATGAAACCTTGCGCAATTGCTGACGTCACACGGGTTTTACCCCAAACTACGCGTTTGTTACAACCAAACCAAATTCAGTTGCACTTGTGCTTGTTGCTGTGCTTGTGATGTCAGTTTTGCACTTCAGTTTCATGTGATGTTTTATGTCACCTTGTGTTTCGTTTTACTTGTTTTGAGAGGTTTGCTCATTTACCCATACCTGCAGTATGGCTGAGCCCTCGGCGCTGCGCGACTTCGCTTAGCGATGGGCACTGGACGTGGGGAGCTTTGGAAGAGGCAGGCTTCAGCCGCGTAGAACAGCTACGTAGTGAGGTTGGAAGCCCCATGCAGTTGGTTTCTTGTTTGACACCAAGGAGCAGTGCCTTGAGGTCGTTAAGGGGATTCACGGACCCAACTACCTGCGATCATCTCAAGGAGTTTGAGGTGAGTCGAAGAGTAGATCGAAAGCATGCTATGCGCTACAAGCTGCAGGAAGTCAGAAGGACACTGGCGAAACGCAAATCTGGCCGGGGGATTTGCGGGTCGTCTTGCTCTTTGTCTTTTCGGTTTTGCCTGTTTGTTGTTTTGGTGGATTACAAGGAACCACTGTGTTTCTTGATGAGTTTTTAATTCAGTTAACTTGCTTATACCAGTTTCAGGACCGAGCCTTAGAGCGACATCGGCCATACCTGAGGAAAAAACAAAAAGCAGGAAGTCAGAAGGACACCTGCTGCCGACGCCTACGATGAGTTGTTAGGCATGGATGTGGCCTTGCAAGCTAGGGTTTCAAAATCCCGTTACAGAATGCAGATCAAGTATCCTTCGGGCAGCAAAACTGATTTGGAGAACGCAGCCCGGGAGTATTGGGTCAATGTTTTGGTCAGCTATGTGGAGGAGTCCGGATTGCCAATAGTGAAGGTGGCAAAGGAGACGTCGAATCCCCAAGAAGTCATGCGTCGAGCTTTTGGGACGAGGCGCATGAAGACGCTCCGCAACAGGGCGAGAGCATGGGCAAAGATCCGTGAGTGGCTCATCATGTTTGCAGACGATTACTTTTCCAAGAGATGTTTCTTACATGTCTTGGTGCAAGAGGATGCATCGAAGGGACGCCTGGTGGAGTCTGCAGCTGCTCTGGGAGTCATGGAGGACGCTGGACAGGTGGCAGCAGATATGAAGATATTGAGCATGGTGACAAAGGTGCAAGGAGTGCGCTCAAGGATTGCGGAGCTGGAGCAGGGACGGACCAAGGTGAAGCGTGCACCTCCCCCCAGTGTGGCTATGTTGTTGGCCCTCGAGGTGAATGTGGTGAACTTGGAGGTGCCAGAGTATATGCGTGCTCTGTCCTGGGTCATCTTGCTCTGCTGGCTCTGAAAGTTTTCAGGGTTGAAGAAATGTCCAGAGCCCCCAGGTCAGCCCATTTATTGCGCTGCGGCGGAGGAACCGATAACAGATCGACTGGACAGCTGGTGAAACGTCGCCTTAGCACAAAGTGGCCTGTCATGATTCTGTTAATGGACTGCCTGGCGTACTGCGAGGAGATAGGAGTGCGTTGTGAGCTGGACTGGAGGCCCAGGGATGCTAATGTGGAGGCAGATCAACTTACAAACAGTGACTTCAGTGCCTTCAGCATTGAACGGAGGATCAAGGTCGAATGGGAAGATCTGAGTTTTCCTATGGTGGACGGTGGACCTTTTGATGAAATACTCAGAGTCTTTCTCCAAGAGAAAGCATGAGGTGTTGGATGGTGGTGCCGCCGGAAGAGGGTCGAAGTTTACAAAATCGACTTGGGGCTGAGAGGCTCGTTTCAGTGGGGCTTTTGAGCTCACCTCTCAGTTTCGATTCTGGTCTTGGAAGAGTTTGTTACGACCTGGCTCTTTTCTGGTGTGCTGTTACGCACTTAGTCGTTTGATCGAAATGGCACCCATCCAATCTTGCGAGTTAAAAAGAGAATGCTGTCCGCCTGTCCGCTGCCACTCTTCTCATTGTGCGTGTTTTGGATTTGATTGTTTGTTTTCGCCACGCGACGTTACGTAGCATTAGGTTTTTATAGAAGACAAGGCCGGGTTGGGAAGTGTAACGTACCAACAGGTTTGTCTTTTGAGAAAACCTTGGTGTGGGGTGGGACGATCTTACTTACCGTAATCCACTCGTTGTTTCACTTGTATAGCTTTTTCACTTAACACGAGTTTGCGGTATAGTAACTCGACGCTAATCTGCTTCGTCCAGTTTTACCTGGGTATAAGTTACGTCGCAGTGGTTTTACCCACTATCGTCTCGTGTCCCCCTCTCGTACGTTGCGATGAAACCTTGCGCAATTGCTGACGTCACGTGGGTTTTACCCCAAACTACGCGTTTGTTACAACCAAACCAAATTCAGTTGCACTTGTGCTTGTTGCTGTGCTTGTGATGTCAGTTTTGCACTTCAGTTTCATGTGATGTTTTATTTCACCTTGTGTTTCGTTTTACTTGTTTTGAGAGGTTTGCTAATTTTACCATACCTGCAGTATGGCTGAGCTTTTGAACACCCACCCTCTGCCACCCTTTTGTTCTGGTTGTTCCTCTTATGGAACCGTCTTCGCCATTTCTTTCGGATTTGGGCTGGGGGCTTTTGAGCTCACCTCTCAGTTTCGATTCTGGTCTTGGAAGGGTCTGTTACGACCTGGCTCTTTGCTGGTGTGCTGTTACGCACTTAGTCGTTTGATCGAAATGGCACCCATCGGGATTTTGAGCTCACCTCTCAGTTTCGATTCTGGTCTTGGAAGGGTCTGTTACGACCTGGCTCTTTTCTGGTGTGCTGTTACGCACTTAGTCGTTTGATCGAAATGGCACCCATCCAATCTTGCGAGTTAAAAAGAGAATGCTGTCCGCCTGTCCGCTGCCACTCTTCTCATTGTGAGTGTTTTGGATTTGATTGTTTGTTTTCGCCACGCGACGTTACGTAGCATTAGGTTTTTATAGAAGACAAAAATGAAAGGTTTAAAGTACATCATCAAGATGATCAATTGTGATGATGAAAAGGTCGGGCGCAGTGAGTAGGAAGAGATAGCAGCGAAAGAGGAGGCACGAAGAACAACAACAAAAGTGGCAAAGAGCTTTGGTACAAATGCAAAAGTGGCAGCAGTGATTGCAATGGCCCTGATCCGAGGAGCCACCAGCAGCAATGTGGATGGAGAAGATGCCGGTGACAATACTTGGATCAAGGTCGTAGTCACAATTTCATGCTTGAGAGTGATCGGTGCCTTGAGCTTGGCTACGATCATTGCGACACAGGCGACACATGTCAAGCATTTTGTCGACAGAATGACAGCAAGGAGAGAAGAAGTGAAGGAGGAACCACAGGTGTTTGAGGAGGCACAAGATGAGATGGATTTTTGGAGACAAGAGGCAGAAAGGTTTGAGGCAGAGGCAATCCAGAAGGCGCACGAAACTCAGGAGGTGAAAAGCGCGAGAGAGAAAATGGCAAGACAGTTGCACAAATTTGCGAAAGATGAGCGATGGATGCGCAAGAGCGAAGGATGAGGAGATGAAGAAAAGAGTGGAGTTAGAAAGGCAGTTGGATGCATGCAAAAGAGAGATTGAGAACATGGAACAAACAGCCAAAACATGGAAAGAAAGAGCGTTCAAGGAGAAAGACACTTTGAAGAAGATGCTTGAGCTGTGGGGCACAAAGATTGAGCGGGAGTTGGCAAGCTTAGAATGGGTAGTTACGCCTGGTGGTGGAAAATACCACATGCATGATTGCAACCATGTCAAAGGAAACGGCAGGAAATATCTGCCATGTAAAGGCTGTGTCCATGGGGCCATACGGGGCGTGATAGAATTGTCCCGACGAGCCATTTAGTGATGTCACATGTCCCCATGGAGCAGTGTGCATGAGAAGATTAGCATGATTTTGCAAGGATGACACGACACAAAACGTGAAGTGGTTGAAACGAAATTTGCAGGTCCAAATGAGAGTTGCAAAACGTGAGTGCAGCGATTTTCAATTAACTTGAATAAATTTTGCACCGATAGAACTTACAACAACCCCATTTTTTGTTATTTTCATGCACATGTTGAGGAACAAAATGTTTTGCCTATTGTGTCCTTGCGGAGTCGGACAATGTTCATTCGTCCCATTCGTCCGGTTGAAAAAAGGGGACGCTTGATGATCTGTTTGCCATTTTGCGTTCTTTTTTTTGGAACACAAAAGCTGATGTCGTCAGGGGGAATGTGTTCATAAATTTTTGTAATGCATTTTCTTGATTGCATGATAAATTTTTACTTGCCCGCAAACGGATGTTGCAAATCAAGTTTGTTTTTTACCACCGAATCGCCAATCTAACAACATTGTGGGTAGAAATTTGATGTGTTGGGTACGTATTTTTTTTCAAAAATAGTCTTGAACCTCAACCGACAATATCATGGCAACGTGATGTTGCACTTTGTGCTGCAGGTGTTTGGTTCTGGCAAAATTGTTTTTCATACAGCACGTCTTGGATGAGACACATGCACGTTCAATCATCCCAAAAAGTGCAGGTTCCACATTTGCATTTGAAGTTAATGTAATAAATGCGTTTTTCGTTGTCCAGTGCCAGAGCGATGTGGTCATGGTGCCAAGACCCCACTTAAAGGAATTGCCTTCTGTGGCAAAACACGATCAAAGGCCTTTGAACATGATTCGCAATCTGCACAATCAAAATTTCGTTGTTGGGATCAAAAAAAACCTTCCAACATTTTTATGCGGTCTTTCCCAGCACTGAAATTGACAATTGGTTTGATTGACATCATTGACGTCCATTGCAGAATCGCATCCATCTAATTACTGGCCAGGTTGGCGAGCGAACTCACGACAGAACTGGAAGCAACTTTGCTTCGTGGGGTTCCTCTCCACCTTTGTTTGAGTGGATGGGCACAGCATTGGGAAACTTGTTCAAAAGAGACAAAATGTAAAATTGTAGAAAATCAGGAGTTCCCGCAATTCAATGTCAAATGTGTCCAACAGCAAAATCGTTTCCAATTGAGCACAAGACCAATTAATGTTGGTTGATTTGGGTTTACCAACTCAGGACCTTTCAAACACGGAAGCTGCAGACGATGCACCTTATACTTTGAGCCGCCAAACGCAACATTTTGATGCTTTCCTCAGTCACGATTGGGGAACGTCAAGATGGTTTTTTGGTTCGCATCAGTGTAGCCATAGATTTCGCCACAGGGCAGGACCAGGAGGTAAATGATAAACCTATCAGCATCAAAAAGGTGTTTGGTCAAACAATTTGACGTGTGGAATATTGTATAATCCAAAATGCCGGCAGGACATATTTATACAGATACACCGCATTCATATGTACACATAATAACCGCATTGTATGTGTATCTATCTATTCATCTATACATTTTTATAATTTTTCTAATGTTCCTAATGCTTCTAATTTTTCTAACTAATTTTTCTAATGTTTCTATTTTTTCCATTTTTTTCCTATTTTTTTTAATTTTTCCAATTTTTCTATTTTTTCTAATCTTTCTAATCTTTCTAACTTTTCTAATCTTTCTAATGTTTCTATTTTTTCTAATTTTTCTAATTTTTCAATTTTTCTAATTTTATATTTTTTCTATTTTTTCTAATTTTTCAAATCTTTCAAATCTTTCTAATCTATCAATCTATCAATCTATCAATCTATCTATCTAGCTAACCTATCTAAGCTATCTAAGCTATCTAAGTTATTTATCTACAGTAAACTATCTATCTAAGCTATCTATCTAAGATATCTATCTAAGATATCTATCTGAACCATGTATCTGAAACTATCTATCTAAACTATCTAAGTTATCTATCTAAACTGTCTATCTAAACTATCTATCTATGCTATCTATCTAAGCAATCTATCTTAGCTAGCTAGCGAGCTACCTGTGTACCTACGTACCTACGTACCTACGTACCTACCTGCCTACCTACCGACCTATCTATCTATCTATCTAGCTATCTATCTACCTACTTACCCATCTACCCATCTACCCATCTACCCATCTACCTACCTACCTACCTACCTATCTATCTATCTATCTATCTAACATCTATCTATCTATCTATCTATCTATCTATCTATCTATCTATCTATCTCTATCCGTGTGTTTGTCGGTCCGCCAGTTGGTCGGTCTCTCTGTCGGTCGGTCCGTGGTTCGGTATCCATACCCATACCCATATCCATATCTATATTGATTTCTATATCTCTATCTCTATCTATATCAATATCAATATCCATCCACCGATATCCATCGATATCCATGGATCCATATCGATTCATATCCATCCATCTACATATGGAAATCCTTTGTACATTCGTTGTTGTCCATGTTGGGTTTACTTCTGATATGTTTTTGTTCAAATGCATGAGACCCAGCATTCACGGAATGAGTCCCCCACAAATGCAAGGTTTCGAGCAAAATCCGGGAAGGAACAAAACACATTGCCGCACCTCTGTGAATAAATAAAATATGTTTGAAGTGTTTTCTAGAACACTGTATACATATGTAAACATATTATCACATAGGACGTCCTTTCTTGACTTCAGAATCAGAGAGCTTCAGGTTGAAACTCCTGGCCATGCTAATGGTCTTCAATTCCAGAGCAGCAGCCATTTCGACGACACTTGTAAGCGAGCCTTGGGAGGAAATCTATGGTCCTATGGTGATTTGCGGCGGAGTTCTTATGAAATTGACCTTGAAAGGATAAAAACTATGGGAATTTAAATTGTATCCCGTCATATTTCTATTATCCCATTGCATCCCATGATATTTCCATGATATTCTCCTGACATGTTCATAAGAAAAAATCGCTGAGGTTTTGTCTCCACTGCTGGCGACCTTTGCCTTTGGCATCACGGAATCGCTTGGACCGATGCTGTTCAGCTTCCTCACGTTTTGGGTCATCCTCTGCTTTTGGCAGCGCATCCGGCAATGCTTTCGGAGGCCTTTAATTGTCTTCATGGACAAGCTGTGCATCTCTCAGAAAGATGAGCAATTGAAGGATGCGCACAGAAGGGTGGTTGGCGATGTAGGACAAGATAAAGACAGAGCCCATTTATGCTGATTTAATACTGATACATATCACATGTCTACATGGATATGGATATGTATGTATGTATATATGATACTATGTGTATATAATATACATAATATATATATATGTACCCTCCAAAAGACTCATTGCAAAAAGAAGAAGATTGACAATTGAAACATGCCAGAAAAAAGTTGTTACTGTAATCTTCAATCTTCATACTTCAATTGTGGAACTTGAAAGTGATTTCAACATCCCTATGTAGCAAAACGTACTTTAAGTAAAGGATTGAAGATCTCCCGATAAAGTAATCTGGAAATCTTCAATCTTCAATCCAGTGGGACTTATCTCTAAAACTCCCAACATACACTCTAGACACAGGATTGATGATTTCGAAGAGTGACTCTTGGTGCAAAAATTGGTTGCATACGGTCTCCTGTCCATAATTTCTTAGAGGATCCTAAGCACAACGTGTCATCTCGACATCCCCAAAACAGCAAGTTTCTGCCCCCCCTTTCCTGGAAAATAAAAAATATGGTTGAAAAAAGAAGGACCAAAACACTAATTTCTACATGTGATGCATTTAAAGAAAACCAGTACAAGAACTGACCTAAAGCAAAAACTGCAGCCACACGGACTCCAAAGAAAAGTTCCTCAGAATCTACTCTGGTGTTCATATAGTCCTGAGTCGTTGATGGCTGACAACCCCGCATATGGGTTCCTTCGTCCAATAAGCTTTAGATTTGGTACTTTGTATATAGCCTTTACTACAGCTCTTTATTCTGATCATTCTGTTTTTTTCTTTTTCCTGAGGTCTTTTGTAAACTTTGCTTTGCAATGTCTTGCATGGCAATTCAATTATGTTTTTGCTTCAGCAAACAAGGCGTCGTCTCATTCACACAAGTGGAATTAGCACCAAAATAAGTTCCTAGACAATCTGCAAGACTCTGTGTGGCTATCCATGCGACTCCAGTTGAGAAATATACAAATTGTGGTTCCAGTCTCCCCCGAACAAAACAGATATTGTGCGTAGTAGAAGTAACAAGTAACAAAAAAAATAGGATTTAGAAATTACAGTATATAATTGTAAGGGTTGCATATTTGTAGAAAATATAGTAACAGCAAGAATCCGTGAGTAGTGCATCATCTGCAAAAACGTATTATTTGAAACAAGGAACATCTACAACAGATATGAAAGGAGCAAAGAGCAGGAGAGCAATGGACATGCAGAAAACGTCCTAAAACATGAAACATGTTACCAACATGTAATTTGAATATAATAGAATAGCACTAGGCAGCTGTAGGTAGAGAGTGCCGAATAATGAAAAATATGACGCCAGAGTTTTCCCCAGCAGCATAAGCTTGGGGTCTTCAGCCATAGTAAAGGTTTCACGAGAGAGGAGGTGACTTGCCCTCCCAGCTCCAAGAGTACGAGGCTGGACAGTTAAGTGTTGGCAGAGAGGATGGTCAGGAGACGAAAGAAGGACAGTCTCAAGAGCTGAACAATGGAGTTGAAGCGGAATTTGAAGAAGCACCGCAGGAGATTTCATTGGTCACTTTTGCGGACCACCACACCGCGGGGGAGCTGGAGCTCCAGAGCACGGGGCAGCTGGCGTCAGCCTTTGGTGTCCCTCAGGAAACAGCCTTGAAGTGGCTGGCGCCGCCACGCGTTGCCGCAGCAGCTTCGCGTGTAGGGGCGGTCATCTTCACTCCATCCTCTGGGGGGATCAACTACCTGGGGGTCGGCGGGCAACACAGCGGCTGCGGAGCTGCAGCGGCGCTCCTTCGCTTCGCCGAAGAGGCCATGCAAGTGGCGGACCTCTTTATTGTGCCTGGCTTGGGACGGCGCGGCCCGCCGCTTCTGGTGGCGGGCCGGCTACACAGCCAGTGGCAGCAGCCCCACTGTGACTGGGCGCATGGTGAAGAAAGGGGTGCCTCGTCCAGTCGAGGTGTCCCATTTGGACCCCGTGGAGCGCCGCCTTCCAGGCATCCAGAGAAAGGTGCTGGGTGTTCTGGGCAATTGCGCCTGGTGCCACGACGGTACCGAAGATTCTCCTCTTCCGACGAGCACCCCCCTTCCCCCGGGTTAGTCCGTCAGGGCGATAGTGCCTTCATTATTATCTGCATCATGTGTTCCTTCTTTCCCGGCTCGTTTGGAATCGTATTTTCACAACTTTGCAATGTTTTTTGTGTGGGGCCCCCTTCGCCTCCAGGCGCTCTATCCAGTCTATCTCCCCTTTGGGGTTGTATGCCATTGTGTACCTACAAGCAATTGACTTCCCAACTAGGGTCACTGCTACAACCTGGCCCTGACTCCTTCCACCCATGGTTTCACACCTAAATACCATTTCCTTGAAACTTCAAGCTCATCGTCTTACTGTTGGACTGGTTTTTTCTCACATTTCACTACCTTCTTCCTACTGCCATCTCTGCTGCTCAGGTCCCAATCATTCTCAACTGAGGTCATGAAGCGCTTGTCCAGCTTCGACTGACATTCTCAGAGATCATCATATGGAAAAGGGAAAAAAGGGGGGCGGAAAACCCCGCCTTTGTGGAGGGTCATTGATGTCTCGTTGCAAACTGGCATGTCCGGCTGGTACCGGGAGGTTGCCAGGAACAGGTTCCCATTGATTCTTAAAGATTCCCAAGAATAGGTTCCCAAGCAAGGTTCCCAGGAAAAGGTTCCTAAAGGCTCCCAAGCAAGGGACCCAAGAACAGGTTCAAAAGGTTCCCAGGAACAGGTTCCCCAAGGTTCCCAAGCAAGGTTCCCATGAAGCAGGTTCCCAAGCAAGGTTCCCAAGAAAGGTTCCCAAGCAAGGTGCCCAAAGGTTCCCAAGAACAGGTTGCCACGCAAGGGTTCCAAGAACAGGTTTCCAAGCAAGGTTGCCAAGAACAGTTTTGCAAGCAAGGTTCCCAAGAACACATCTCTAGTCTCGAAGCAAGGTTTTCAGGAACAGGCTCCCAAGCAAGGGTTCCAAGAACAGGCTGCCAAGCAAGGGTTCCAGGAACAGGTTCGCAAGGGTGCAAGGTTCCCAAGAAAGGTTTCCAAGCAAATCTCCCTGGAATAGGTTCCCAAGCAAGGTTTCCAAGAACAGGTTCCCAAGAACAGGTTCCCGAGCGAGGTTACCAAGGAAGGGTTCCCAAGCAAAGCTCCCAGGAACAGATTTGCCAGCAAGGTGTCCAGGCACAGGGTTCCAAGCAAAGTCTATTTTGTTCCAACGATGTCATGCCCATTATTCAAGCTTTGTGTGGGGCCATCGCTGTTTGTTCAAACACGCGCATTTGAAAAACTGAGAAAAGAGAGCTGCAAATAACTTCCTCAACTGCCGAACTGAGAGGATAGACAATCAACGGCTTACCTCAGCCAGCTCTCAAACATGTTCTCGACAAACATTTGGTGACTCTTTCCTTTGGTTGTTGCTGTTGGGGATATTCTTTGGACTTATTTTTAAAACATGTCTTTTGTTGAATTTGGAGCAATACCTTTATACACCAATCACAAAAAGGAAAAGAGGAGAAATCGCCATGCCATCAGAAGCATTTGAAGCAACTACAATAAGGTAAAATAGAAGAGATAGAACTGTTGATCATGAGGTGTATGCACACTACGAAATATGCAAGGATATTCAAACTAAGATGTTAGTGTATCCAACAACTCAATTTGATGAATGAAACATACATAAGTGCTACATCTTTACGTACATCTAGTATAACATACATCTAGTACAACCAGTATTTGACAAAGCACTTTCTTTTTCCCCAACGGCGTGAGCTAATGGGGTCTTCAGCCCAGAATAGCTCCGGTGTGCACTGGTGCAGGCGCCGGGTCAGGTTGGAGAAGGTCTGGGAAGCTTTGGTGCAGAGCCAGGTCAGGTTCAACAAGGTTCCGGAGAAGGTTCCGGAGAAGGTCTGGGAGGGGGTTCCGAAGAAGGTTGCGGAGAAGATTCCGGGAGGCTTTGTGGTGCAGAGCCAGGTCAGGTTCAATAGGGTTCCGAAGGGTTCCGGGGAAGGTTCCGGAGAAGGTTCCGGAGAAGGTTCCGGGAAGCTTTGGTGCAGAGCCAGCTTTTCCCGGAGAAGGAGAAGGCCGGGAGGCTTTGGTGCAGAGCCATGTGAGGTTCAACAGGGTTTCGGAGAAGGTTCCGGAGAAGGTCTGGGAGGCTTTGGTGAAGAGCCAGGCAGGTCAGGTTCAACAGGGTTCCGGAGAAGGTTCCGGAGAAGGTGTGGGAGGCTTTGGTGAAGAGCCAGGCAGGTCAGGTTCAACAGGGTTCCGGAGAAGGTTCCGGAGAAGGTGTGGGAGGCTTTGGTGCAGAGCCAGATTAGGTTCAACAGGGTTCCGGAGAAGGTCCAGGAGAAGGTTCCGGAGAAGGTTCCGGAGAAGGTTCCCGGAAGCCTTTGTGCAAAGCCAAGTCAAGTTCAACGCGTTCCGGAGAAGGTTGCCGAAGCCAAGCCAGGTCAGGTTCATTTAACTCGCGGAAACCCAGCTGAGGTGTTTCCAGCGCTTGGCTTCGCAGCATGTTCAGAAAGATTTGTAAAAATGAAACGTTGCGGCTGTTGGGGATACCGCCGGAGCTTGTTTCTAAATAAAGTTCTGGGCGAAAGGCAGCAGGTGATCTTTTGCAATGTTATGGATGAGAGGTTTATGTATATATATATACATGTATATATGTGTATATGTGTATCTGTGCAAATACACACATGTATAAATATATTTATACATGTATATATATATGAATATATATCTATATATATATATATATATGTTTATATGTATAAATGTAAATATGTATATATGTATTTATTTATTTATGTATATGTATATATATATATATGTATATATGTATTTATATATATATCTATATATACATATATATGTATACATATGTATACATATGTATGTATGTACATATAAATATAAATATAAATATAAATATAAATATAATATATATAATTTAATACATATATTATTTTATATTATATTATATTATTTTTTTTTATTATTTTATATATTATATTATATTATATTATATTATATATTATATATTATATTATATTACATTATATTTTATTATACTATATTATATATTTTATTATATATTATATCAAATTATATTATATATTATATTAAATTATATTATATTATATGTATATTATATGTATATTATATTATATTATATAATATAATATTATATTATATTATATTATTATATTATATTATATTACATTATATTATATGATATTATATGATATTATATGATATGATATGATATGATATGATATTACATTATATTATATGTATATGAGCCTCGTCCATATCTACATATAATTCACCTATCACCTCTACATGCAAGAGGATCCATTATACTATATATTATATATACTGGTTGGTGGAATTGTATTTTTGCAAGGGGAAACTATCGGAAAACCATTAGTATATACACGGGCTTCACTCCCGTGCTAGGTTGGGTCACCAGAGAGTAATGATTAGTTGAATCAATTGGGAACAGCACGACTTTTATTGAATTTCCTGGAGGGAAGGCACGTTCGGACAATGGGTAACTGCTCGCTCGCACTTGGGTGAGCTGTGCAGGCCAACAAAAAGTGCTGAATTGAGGGCAATGAAAACCATGGTTTGCGGCACACTTGTTACACAACCTTGCTTTAGACTACAAACTGACATGTAGGTATAGTTACACGATGTTTTACTATGTCCTGGTTTTTGAGTGCTTGCATCATATCATTCCCCGCGTCTTTTGGGGTAAATTCACATTTTTGTTGTTGGTTCCCCCTCAATGTTTGGATTCAATCCCCATCTCGATTGACAAATTCTTGCAGGAAAGAGGCATTCTGGGCTTGGCAAGTTTCCTGGATCGCTCGGAGTGTCTGACCATTCTTTGGTCCTCGCGGTATTTTTCGCGCATTTGGTGTACCTTCGAGGTGGCCGCATTCTTGAGGAATGAGCAGAAACGGCATATTCGAATCATCCCAGATGCTTGATGATTTAGATCGGATTGATGTTTTCCTTTTTCCCCACCTGCCAGGTGAGGGTTGTTAGATTTTATCAGAGTTGTTCTCCTCCTCTTCCTCCTCGGCCAGCTCTCCTCCTCCTCCTCCGCCTCCTCCTCTTCCTCCTCCTCCAGTTTCTCCTCGACCATGTCTGCATCAACTTCCACCTTCACTTCCGCCTTGCCAACTCTGCGCCAAGCTCTTCGCCAACGTCCGAGCTCAGTGGGTACCGCTGGACCTCAACCTGGGACCTGCCCAGCTCAGTGTGCACCGCTGGACCTCAACCTGGGACCTTCCGCCTCCACGCGCAGTGAGCACCGCTGGACCTCAACCTGGGACCTTCCGAGCTCAGTGGGCACCGCTGGACCTCAACGGCCAGATAGAATGCCAGAAGATATGCCAGATAGAACGCCAGATAGCATGTCAGATGCCAGATAAAATGCCAGAAGATATGCCAGATAGAATGCCAGAAGATATGCCAGATAGAATGCCAGATGGTATGCCAGATAAAGTGCCAGACTGTTTGCCAGATAGAATGCCAGAAGATTTGCCAGATAGAATGCCAGATATGATGTCAGAAGAAATGCCAGAAGATATGCCAGATAGAATGCCAGATCGAATGCCAGAAGATATGTCAGATAGAATGCCAGAAGATTTGCCAGTAACAAATCGATAAATGTCATGGTGGGGATCACACGAAGTAAAGTAATTTTTGTCTATCAGATAACTGTTTGCAGCCAAACAGCCAAAGAGATATGCAAAGAAACATGTAAGATTGCATGGGAATTCAAGTGTCACGAGCAGCTGAATTTCAAGTCGCCGAGAAAGAAAAAATATTTGTGTTTTCTTTTAGGAGGATTCGTGTTGTTTTGATCTTGACATCCATTGCAAACTCGTTGGTTGGCATCGGCTTAATTGAGGTGTCCTTTGCCAAGCTCGTGTTTTTGCTTAGCTTGTATGCCCATGTTGGTGCCTTTGCATACTACACCTTCTCGATTCGGGAAGATGTTTGGACCTGGTTGGCGGGCACAACAGGTATGATCGATGACTGGTGGGTGAAAGTGACCGTTTTGAGCTCCAGCTTCTCCTGTTTGGCGTCAGTCCTGGGGCCTCTCATCTTCTATATTGGTATTAACCTTATGAAGGACATTGATTCCCTGAGACAACAACTGAGTTCATTTAACATCAAACGCTGCAAGTGCTACTGCTGTAGCGTCTCTCATCAAGATCCAGTCACCAAAATGCGAATCCCCTGTGACCGCGAAGTGATCTTTGCTACGTTGGAAGAATGGTATGGAGGGCCCAAAGATCCTGAAGCAGGGGGAGAATCATCATCAAGATCCAGTGCCAGCGCTAGTCCCAATTCCTTTGTTGGCCCTTTCAACAAGCTGGTCCGGGACCACCTGGCTGGCATCGTCAGAGAGACTTTGGAGGACATTTCCGGCCAACTACGGTATGGCATGTGCATGGTGGTGGTAATCTTGATGCCTTTGTTCCCGTGCTGTTTGATGCAAAACTGGATGTACCTACAAGATTCCTGGATTTGCTTGGTGATTTTTCTTAGCCTAGCCTAGCCATCCACCAAAGAACAGGAATCTACCGGGAAGATGGCGCTATTTTTGGTTCCCATATATGAGACATTGGTTACATCCAAGGATTGGTCCAATTCCACGCTGTTGATTTTCTTCTTGCGGAACCTGCTTAACTGGGCGAAGCTCCCCCTGTGGGCGATGTTGGCATTCTGGGCGGCCATACGCAATTGCGAGTTGGGCTTGTACCTATGTCAGCGCAAGATGAAATACATGAATCAGATCGTGGTTTCATGCCTCATGACCATTCTGACACTGATTCTTCTAGGATTTGCCTGTATTCCGTTTGAGATTGTCTTTTTTGTCACGAGGGACGAACAATCGCTTTTTTTCCCTCTAATCCCGTTTATGGTGATCGTGGTGATTGATTTATGCATTTTTGTGCCGGCTCTGCGGTGCAAGTGGCTAAGCCACCTAAGCCCGGAGCGGCCCCTCCGTGCTCCCTATCCTGGTTGTAGGAGCACCGACGAACTGCCAAGCATCTAGTGGCTGCGCCCTCCCGAAACATCCCGAAACATGACATGGAGGATCACATTAAATGATATGTGTACGTCCTTCAAAATGCTTCCAAGTCAAGGTTTGAGGACCATGTTTCTTCATCAGCGGTGCCAATTTGGCAGATTTCTTTTTCAGGGGGGCTGGCAGTCGCGCTTCTTTTCAAAAGTCCTCCGAGAGGATGAACACATTCGATTGGTCTCGAGGGAGCCTGAAAATGCCTAGGGGGTACTTGAGACAACAGAAGCAGTGTGAAGGACTTAAGGGAGTTTGGCACTCAAACCGGATAGGTGTTCTAATCCACAAGAAGATTCAGCCATTTCAGATCAACGTGTCCACACAAACGGCATGGACCAACGCATGATGATGCGACCAATGGCATCCTGCGAACTTCTCCAGCAAGACAACATTGATAGACGCACACACACACACACGCACACAAATGTGCACCTATGTACATGCAATGCAAATGCAACAGAGTATTTCTAAATACAATGATTTGGGTCTAGGTATATATATACCACATATAATAATATAATGTACAACGGTACATGCACGACAACATATCAGATCCTTACCAAGTCACCAACCCCGCCACCTTGCTTCCTCTCGGAAATCGTCCTGCTTTTGTGCCATGCCGAGCTTTGTCCCAGTGCAAGATCCCGAAAAGGCATCGCTAAACCACCCTGAGAGATGGACGGTGCAGGTTTCATGTGGTGCTTCTGTGGTATCTCTGCACAGGCCAGATGTGAGCAGGATGAGGAATCCTTGCGAAAGCATCGGCAATTTGACACGCCGTTTGCATTGCTGCCGAAGGACATCAGCCGGTTTTTGCAGATGTTCTTTGTCCTAATTTTATCTAGATTTCTTATGATTTCTTGATAGGGGGCTGAGCTCTTCCAGCCTTAACAGGATTTGAACAATCCGAAGGAGAAGAAGGGTGACCTGAACCCGTGCTTCACCCAGTGCTCGCATGTGAGAAGCATTGAGGCAGATACGGGTTTGCAAAGAAGAGGGTACTCTAAATTCTCATTGTTTATATTTGTTTATCATTATTTTCCCTGTGTTAAAATATGTTAAAATCAGCAAATATCGGGTACATCTCCCATTGATAAACCCTCATACACTCGTCCTGCAGTCCCTCGCGGCTTCGAAGCCCTTTGAGGATTGCGAGAAGATCGGAAGAGTTGTACCAAGATGAAAATAAGCGGCGGTCCCAGCAGATGGGTTTGTCGTTGTCAAACAATGGAGGCGTTACCCTCAATTCAGGTTCGTTCTAGTGGTGATGGTGGCACACAATTTGAATCCCAGAGGAATAATTTTTTGAGGTTCCAGCAGTCGTGAGGTTCGCTCGCTGAGGCTGTGGAAGAAGAAAAGGGAGGTCTTTGATAAACAACAAACCTGGGGCTTGGACCTAAGACCTAAGCGCTGCTGGCTTTGAAGCTGGCGCTGGAGAGGTTTCAGCTGAACTGTCTTGGCTCAGGACGAGAAACCGCAGTTTGGTCAAATCCCGAGGAAACGCGTGAACAAGACAGTCCTGTGCTCAATGGGATGACTGGATCGATACCCCAACAAAAACCACCAGCACATTTTTAGTTGGAACTAGTCTGAGCATGACACTCCCAAGTTGCTTTGTGGAGGACGCCCCATGAAAATCCCTGAAAGATCTCAAACTTTTTCTGCGGCAGTGCAACAGTCACTGAGAACGAAAGTACAAACCTGGCGAAGTCTTCTGGGGTGCAAAGGGCACCTTCGGGGGAAAGCAAGAGGCTGGGGTGCTTGGCCTGTTGGGTGACGATTTCAGGGTGAACTCAGAGTCGTGTTGTTGATTTTGTGTATCCTGTCATTAGGATTGGTTTGGAACTCTGTTTTTTCACATTTAATTATATATATGTATATTATTATTATTATTATAAAGAAATAGAAATAATGTTGTCAAGAAATCTTGCAGCCATGCCAGGCTTATTGTGTCGGAGCATTACTCACCCCCGGACAAATCATGATCTTAAACTCAGGAATCCAGGTTTCAAAGGGGTCTGAAACTGTAAGTGATGTTCTAGAAAACAAATAAAGCTTCTGAACCCACAGATTTTCCATCACAGTTTCCCAAAAATGACCGAGCATCCCATCCAGGACAGTGGGCTCCTGACTCTCCAGAGGGGCGAAGTGGATCAGGCGGGATGTTTTCGATGCCATCCATGGGCCAACGGGGCAAGCCTGACCCCTACAGTTGAGCGTTCTGGCAGACCATGGAACTGAACGAAAAGGGCCTCTGGGTGCGCAAGAAGAAACCTACCACTGAGGACGGTCTGGGAGGTTGGAAATCACTCTGAGTGCTAGGACCCACTGAGTTTGGGCTACTGCAACAATGATAGCTGCTTCTCATTAGTAGAGTCTTGTGGCAAGCTGTGAAAGCATTACAAGAGGATCAAGATGGTTGCAGGACAATTTCCCGAGATTATGAAATCGGTATCGAACTCCAAAAACATTTTTTCCAGCCGAAAGAATTGAACCAATTTCCAGCTGCTCTGACAGGAAGGGCCTGGTTTGTCTTCCAGCGCCAAGCAGCTCTTGAAGACATCATCCAACGGCGAGGAGTGCTTCTTTGTGGTTCTGCCTGCAACGAACTGCCGAGCAAAATAGTGCGAAGAACTCAACATCTCAGAGAACTGGTGGCTTCAATCAGCTTGAAATCTTGCTGGAATCTGCTTTTTTCGATGGCTGGGGATGGTTCGCCCAGATTCGCAGTTTTCTGTATCCCACCATGTCCATAGAGTCTTTGGATTCCAAATAAATCCATAGATATCCCAAGATATGACTCCAAATCCTAAACATTCCTCCGATTCCTCCATCATTCTCTGTGGATCCCATGGATCCTCCATGGATTCCCAGGACCCTCGGCTGGAAGCTGCAAAGCCTAAGGGCCGGGGCACAGCGGATGCCTCTGAGAAGGCTCTGGAGGTGGGGATGGGAAGATGATTGGAATATGATGGGAGATCACAAAAAATAAGATATCCCCCCAATATGATTGGGAATTCAAACCCAATAATATGTATGTATAGATAGAAAAGGAAGAAAGAAAGAAAGAAAGAAAAAAAGAAAGAAAGAAAGAAAGAAAGAAAGAAAGAAAGAAAGAAAGAACGAAAGAACGAAAGAACGAAAGAACGAAAAAGAAAGAAAAAAACAACAATAAATAAATAAATAAAGAAAGAAAGAAAGAAAAAGAAAGAAAAAAGAAAAAGAAAGAAAAAGAAAGAAAAAAGAACAATAAAGAAAAAGAAAGAAAAAGAAAGAAAAAGAAAGAGAAAGAAAGAAAAAGAAAGAAAAAGACAGAAAAATAAAGAAAAATAAAGAAAAATAAAGAAAGAAAGAAAGAAAGAAAGACAGAAAAAAGAAACAAAAAGACAGAAAGAAAAATAAAGAAATAAAGAAAGAAAAAGAAAGAAAGAACGAAAGAAAGAAAGAAAGAAATACAGAAAGGATAAGATAAGATAAGATAGATAGATAGACAGACAGACAGACAGATTCGATTAGATTAGATTAGATTAGATGAGATTAGATTAGATTAGATTAGATTTGATTTGATTTGATTTGATAGATAGATAGATAGATAGATAAATTAGATAGATAGCTTAGATAGATTAGATAGATTAGATAGCTTAGATAGCTTAGATAGATTAGATAGATTAGATAGATTAGATAGATTAGATAGATAGATAGATAGATAGATAGATAGATAGATGGATAGATAGATAGACAGACAGACAGACAGACAGACAGACAGACAGATTCGATTCGATTAGATTAGATTAGATTAGATGAGATTAGATTAGATTTGATAGATAGATAGATAGATAGATAGATAGATAGATAGTTAGAAAGATAGATAGATAGATCGATCGATCGATAGATAGATAGATAGATAGATAGATTAGATAGGTTAGATTAGATTAGATTAGATTAGATAGATAGATAGATCGATGGATAGATGGATAGATAGATGGATAGATAGATAGGTAGATAGATAGATAGATAGAGAGAGAGAGAGAGAGATGGGAATAGTGACGGGAACAGTGATGGGAATACCATTCATTTGGTACATGGGCTAAGATATGATGGGAATATCACACTCCATTTATGGGAACACGATGGGAATATGATGGAATATACCCTCCAGATGGTTGGGAAATCCCCGAGACATAGTGGAGCTTCCGATGGGAAGATCATCGAACATGACACCAGAGGGATGCATGGTAAACAAATGTGGAAAGAAGTATGGTGGATGAATGGGGGCTTGTCAAAGATTGACCCTAAATGGAAAACACACATTTGGAGGTGGGAGGTAATTGATGTTTTTCCTGAAAAGAGGGAAACAGCAGAGAATGTTCTATGTTTTGAGGGTCGCTGGGTGTTTTGACGGCATCAACACCAGCTAGAGAGACACAAAAACCGTGAGTCTGAGAAGTGAACGACCAATTGATGGTCTTCTGTCATGTTCCCCAATTCTGAACTCAACCCTTTGCATCCTTTTGCTACCTCTCCAGGCATTGCAAGAACGTCGAAAGTTGGAGCGGAAAGTGCAAGATGAGTGGTGGCCACAGATGTTGCAGCTTGATGAGTGGTACCAGATGACACCACACAGATCTGGATTAATGGCAGACTGTATAGAATAACATTATGATGTTGGCAGACAGAACATCCCCCACATTCTAATATGAGTGAATCATTTTCCTGCGAGGGATGTGTACTTCCAGTTACAATGTCTGATCATGAGGGCCCCATCCTTTGCCATTTTCTGATATCATGTGGATTGATGGTTTTGGCCCAAGATAGGTCCCTTTGTATTGCGTCAGGCGGCCCAACGTTTTCCATGTACAATGAACTTTTTGGCAGTACAGGAGCCGCCAAGCCAGTCGCAACAGCTTTGCGAATCAAACACATCGGACATCCACTTTTGGGTCTCACCAGAAAGGCTAACAGAACAATCATCCTGGGTCTCACTGATCCTGGGCCGCCTGGGCATTTTCCTTGGGAACCTCCGAGAACCTCCGGTTCTTCCGTGGCGCCATGAGTGCTGCGGTGCGTGGATCATCCCAGCGCATGTCCAGCAAGGGAAGTCACGGCAGCCGGGACGCTGGACGAAGCACCGCCGCAGTGGGCCGGGCCATGCTTGGGGCGCGGCCACGATCCAAGGAGCCACACAGGTGACCACAGGTGACAAGTTTCCATTGGTTGCGAGATGTAGAAATTTCATTTTGACTCTTTTGTTAAAAAAAATTGGGTTTGCAATTCTTTTTTGAGTGACTTCAGTGCTCACTGCGGAGTTTCGAGGAGCGCGAGGATCCGGGGATGCGTCCTGCTGGGGCACTGCGCTCTGAGGACTCAAAAACAGTACCCACACCAGCGACCAATCGGGCGCGGCAAATCGGGGACAGCCTGGAGCACTTGTTGTCAGGTGCCCAGCAGGCATGGTGGACGTCAATCTCAGGTGGAACATTTGAATTCATCCGTGGTCGTTGTGTATTCATATACGTCATTCTTAGTCTTGCTATTCCCACCATTTCTCTACTGGATGTGAAATAAGGATTCTGCATGCCTCTAAGATTTGTCATTTGTGAAATGAGGATGCTAAGGCCACCAGGGGCCACCAGGCCAGGCTTTTTTTTTGGGGACCTCTCCGATGATTTGATCGGTTGATCGGGGCGGTGGCGACAGGGAATACTGGCATCCAAGTTGAGTGGCTATCGGCCCCATGGAGGAGTGGACTTTGACGATGAGGCGGGCCGAACCATGGGATGTTGATGTGGTAACCAATGTGGTATGGTCATGACTCTCCCAGAATGGGGAATCCGAACATCATACGGTATATACATCATATTAAATCATGATGCATTTATATAAATCCCTACGAGCGGATTGATGACTATCCCCCATTCTGGGCAATTTGTCCAAATTTGGAAAATGGCACAGGTGTCAAAGTGAATGACAAAGAGAAATTGAAAGCAGGGTCACATCCATGATGCAAACTTGCCAGAGTCTCCGAACTTATTTGTTCAGAAAGATGATCGACATGCCATTATGTGCTGTTGGGATTTGTCCCCCCAAAAAGCAGCATACCCACCCTTTGATGACAATTTTCATGCAATTTCATGCCAACAAACGTCATGAGTTGTACCGTTTCACCATGGGATCTGGGAACCCAACTGGTTGGCCAGGCTCGGAAGCTCTGGGCACGGCTGAACTTAGATCCCTCAGTGATCACTGGTGGACACTACAATGCCGTGGATCCTTTGTGGCAGCATCCTGAAACCAGAGCTGTGTTCTATGTGGGTAACCAAACTGCTGCATCCAACCTGCCTTTGCTGCAGAAACATGGCATTACGCATGTGGTGAACTGCACGGACAACATGCCCAATTACCATGAGGGCAGCAGTTCCATCCGCTATCATCGCTTCGACATCTCCCGATTCCATCGACAAGTCAAGACCGATGCGGATGCGGATCGCTTCGTGCAAGCCATGTTGGACTTTGTGGGTTTGGAGCTCAGTGTCTCTTCAAACGACCTTGGCTTAGTTACTTACAAGTAGTTGGCTCACGACGGCTTGGTCTGTTGGAAAAGGGATGACTTGATCAAGTCTGTGGATTTGGCATGCTGCTGGTTAGACATTCCAGCGAAATAGCCTGTACTATATCCCCGTTTATGGTTGGCTTTATAGTCACCTTTCTGTTGGTGAAATCCCGTGCATTTCTTCCAATTTGTTGTTGGCTAGAATCTAAATTTCAGTTGGTTGATCCTGACATCGCATTTGTTTTTCCGATTGCATCCCAGTTTCTTGTTATTTTCAAGGGGTAATCACCTTACAGTAGCCTTACAGTAACCACCCAAAGATAGAGCAAGCAATCAGCCTGTAATTTCCTTTTCCATCCTTTGAGCTTTCCAAGTTCAAGCAGAAATCCACTTCTTCCGAGATTTTCACTTCATCCCCTGGCAGGTTCCGCCTTAGCCAGCGGCAAAAATGTCATGGTCCATTACCTGGCTGGGGCGCATCGTGCGGGCACCACAGGCCTGCTATTCCAGTGGCTCCCCAACGCCACGCATCGGGTCCATTTTCGAAGCCGATCATTTTGCAGCGGCCAAAAGACATGTTGTTTTCATGGTAATGAATTCCTATGTGTATACTGTATACGTATATACATACTGTTTCATATTATGAATGTTGATGGAAAGTAAATTGATTTTGGGTTAAAGGTAGAACAAACACGTTTTAAACTGTGTTTGGAAATCGAAGTAGGTTTCAGTTTGCCCCCGAATTTGGCAGATCGAGTCCTGTCGCGCCAGGCTGCATTTGCCTGATGCATTTTGCCCAACTGGACGCCAAAGATGCCGTGACAGCGGTTTCTGGGCAGATGTCTTGGGTGGGTTAATGCCCTTTATGGGATGATTGAGAGGCCCTTGGTTGGGACACATTTTGACCAGTGCGCCATATCAGTCTTCCCAAATGGATAGAGAATGAATGTGAGGTTGGTTTCACCATTTTAGAACTTTTCTGCCTGATGTTGACATGGTTTGGCGATTCAGTCTTGATGAAGGGGCCTTGCATCTTCCCACAGTGGCAGCAGGTGTATATACTTACATGGTTTTCCTTTTTTGTAGACGATCAACATTTGAAGCAGATTGTTAACTTCAAGGTGTTTGCATTGGCAACAGCTGACAAATTTTCCCCGGAACTTCATTCCAGGTTTATACCCACCGAAGATGCCACTGAACATTCTCATGCTGAAGGAAACTGAAGGCTGTATCTTCAAAAACCAAGAATTCATGCACCAATCAGATCTCACGATGCCCAGCATTTCCTAAGTGATGCGCTCTTTTCGCCACACTCCGGTGCGAACTAGGCAAAGCGTTGCCGACCCATCATCGAACCCATCGCAGACTTCCCCGCTGCTTGGCTAAAATGGGCTGAGAATCAGGGGGATCCAAGGTGAAGTGGCTACCGACCCAGATAGTCACGAACAACACCTTCATAGGCTCCAAACACCCCCCCCCTGAACCCCCCCCTAGAAAATAACCCCAAAACAGAAACCATCACCTCAAATAAATAAGGCCAAAATAAGATATAATCATTTCTGATTCAATGCTATTTTTTGGGGCCATTTTCTTGATGATTCATAGTGGGAATACAAGAGACGATACGAACCATATGCTCTTGGTGTCTTCGACGCCCAATTAGAAAAGTGTTGTGAAAAGAAATGGTTTCCCAAGATAGGCAGCCCCGAGCTGCTGAAATTAAACTGAGTCAGTGGACTTTCATTGCTGGAAAACTGGTACGGAACCTGATTCATTGTTTTGAGGAACCATGCTTTTCACCATTTTACCATTGATTTTGGTGCTGTTTCCACAGAAAACGGGCTCAAAAACCATTGTTTTTGCAATGTCTTGCAGCTAGTTTCATTATATTATAAGGTTGGTGGTGTCTTTACAGATAGCTGGCTCGAAACCATGGTTTCTGGCATGTTTTGCAGCTATTTTCACCTTATTTTGACGTTGATTTGAAAGAATCTTCACGGTTTAGCCAAACACCATCAAAAACACATGGGTTTTTCATCGATTAGTCCTTATTTCGACCTTAATTTGACCTTCCTTTGAGGTTATTTTTGGAAATCTAGGAGTTTGTAAAAACCATGGTTTTTACCATATTTTTCACCATTTTACCATTGATTTTGATGCTGTTTCCACAGAAAACGGGCTCAAAAACCATTGTTTTTGCAATGTCTTGCAGCTAGTTTCATTATATTATAAGGTTGGTGGTGTCTTTACAGATAGCTGGCTCGAAACCATGGTTTCTGGCATGTTTTGCAGCTATTTTCACCTTATTTTGACGTTGATGTGAAAGAATCTTCATGGTTTAGCCAAAAACCATCAAAAACACATGGGTTTTTCATCGATTAGTCCTTATTTCGACCTTATTTTGACCTTAATTTGACCTTATTTTGAGGTTATTTTTGGAAATCTAGGAGTTTGTAAAAACCATGGTTTTTACCATATTTTTCACCAGTTTACCATTGATTTTGATGCTGTTTCCACAGAAAACGGGCTCAAAAACCATTGTTTTTGCAATGTCTTGCAGCTAGTTTCATTATATTATAAGGTTGGTGGTGTCTTTACAGACAGCTGGCTCGAAACCATGGTTTCTGGAAAGTTTTGCAGCTATTTTCACCTTATTTTGACGTTGATTTGAAAGAATCTTCACGGTTTAGCCAAACACCATCAAAAACACATGGGTTTTTCATCGATTAGTCCTTATTTCGACCTTAATTTGACCTTATTTTGAGGTTATTTTTGGAAATCTAGGAGTTTGTAAAAACCATGGTTTTTACCATATTTTTCACCATTTTACCATTGATTTTGATGCTGTTTCCACAGAAAACGGGCTCAAAAACCATTGCTTTTGCCATGTTTTGCAGCTGTTTTCACCTTATTTTGACGTTGATTTGGAAGAATCTTCATGGTATAGCCAAAAACCATCAAAAACACATGGGTTTTTCATCGATTAGTCCTTATTTCGACCTTATTTTGACCTTAATTCAACCTTATTTTGAGGTTATTTTTGGAAATCTAGGAGTTGTAAAAACCATGGTTTTTACCATATGTTTCACCATTTTACTATTGATTTTGATGCTGTTTCCACAGAAAACGGGCTCAAAAACCATTGTTTTTGCCATGTTTTGCAGCTGTTTTCACCTTATTTTGACGTTGATTTGGAAGAATCTTCATGGTATAGCCAAAAACCATCAAACAAAAACACATGGGTTTTTCATCGATTAGTCCTTATTTCGACCTTATTTTGACCTTAATTCAACCTTATTTTGAGGTTATTTTTGGAAATCTAGGAGTTTGTAAAAACCATGGTTTTTACCATATTTTTCACCAGTTTACCATTGATTTTGATGCTGTTTCAAGAGAAACGGACTCAAAAACCATTGTTTTTGCAATGTCTTGCAGCTAGTTTCATTATATTATAAGGTTGGTGGTGTCTTTACAGACACCTGGCTCGAAACCATGGTTTCTGCCATGTTTTGCAGCTATTTTCACCTTATTTTGACGTTGATGTGAAAGAATCTTCATGGTTTAGCCAAAAACCATCAAAAACACATGGGTTTTTCATCGATTAGTCCTTATTTCGACCTTAATTTGACCTTATTTTGAGGTTATTTTTGGAAATCTAGGAGTTTGGAAAAACAATGGTTTTTACTATATTTTTCACCATTTTACTATTGATTTTGATGCTGTTTCCACAGAAAACGTTTTTCTTCAATTTGTTGCAGCTATTTTCACCTTATTTTGACGTTGATTTGAAAGAATCTTCATGGTTTAGCCAAAAACCATCAAAAACAAATGGGTTTTTTCATCGATTAGTCCTTATTTCGACCTTATTTTGACCTTAATTTGACCTTATTTTGAGGTTATTTTTGGAAATCTAGGAGTTTGTTGTAACCATTGATTTTGATGCTGTTTCCACAGAAAACGGGCTCAACACATTTTTTTTTACATTTTTTGCAGCTAGTTTCATTATATTATGACGTTGTTTTTGAAGGAATCTTCAGGGCTTAGCCAAAAACGATGAAAAGCCTAGTCTTTTTCATCGATTAGTCCTTATTTAGACATTATTTTTGGAAATCTAAAGTCTTGGTCAAAAACTATGGTTTTGGCTACATTCAAAATTTTCTTTTCAAACGGATTATTTCATAGACCCCATCAATGCTGATCCCTGGAGAACTTGTTTGTGAATTTGGGCCCTAAAAAATGACTGATTTGGTGCATTTTTAAGATTCATCCATGGCGCCCAGTGCTGTCCAATCGGACTAAAACAAGAAAAACTCACATGAAATGAGTTGAACAAAAGCAAATATGATGTGGTGTTGTTCTTCTTTTTCCATTGCTGTTGGATTTGCTTTTTGGTTTTCCACTGGTGTCTCTGGTGTCATGCGTTTGTCTGAGCATTAGCCGTCGCAGCAAGACAACATCCTTCAAAACTAACGTAAAAAATAAGCCTAATTCAAGGTTATTTTTTTTGCATCTTTTGTCGATTACTCCTTATATTGGGCTTAATTTGGGAAAAAAAATAAGGCCTTATTAAGGCCTTATTAAGGCCTTAATTATTTCCCACATGCGATTGGTTCTAATTTCAGGGTTATCTTAAAGGGGAGGGGGGTTTGGGGGGGGGAGGATGCTTATTGTGACACCTGGATTTTTTGCATTTTTCATGGCCTCTTGAAGTCTTGAGCCAGGGAATACAATATGTCTGGCATTTCGTGCTCAGCTGGCAATGTGGAAGAGTGATCACTGGTATGGGTGATTACAATTGTGGTCCCCTCTGACTACATAGCTTGATGCAAGTCTAAGGAGTTCCCAAACCTTTCATTTGATTGGAACTTGAAACGTCAAGTGGCCATATCCAAGAGCAGAGTCGTCTTGGTAGCACCAAGATTCAATCGGATAGGACCAACGACCCTAATGATCTAGACCAAGAATCCAGGGTCTTACCGGGTTAAGTCTTAACTTTCGCAGTGAAGCCAAACAAAAATCAGGATCTTAACTTTCAGGGTTTACTGGGCACACATATTCTAGACCAACAAAACATGAGGATCTTTCTGTGCCTCACCAGGTCTTGCTGGCTAAGTTGGAGCGCAGTTGGGGCCGTGCTGAGTCACGAAAACCATCGCGATGATGGGGGATGCCCTGCTTGCAGCCGCAAAGCTGTTCGATCTTCAGCACTTCCAACCAATGGCCTTTACCAGTTGGGTTTCCTGATCAACCGGAGTCGTGTTTGATTGAAACGTAACCAACTTCCATTAACCATCAAACCAAATGGTTTTGTTGCTCTGCTGGAGATGCAGATCTCGCTTGCGCTGTGCAACTGCGCAATGTAGCGCGCCGCAACCCTGCGGTGTGGCACAGTGTGAATTCGAAGGCTAAACGTAGCCTTGGCCGTAGTCACATTGAACAGATGATTTCCGGCTCAAAATATGGAGAGCCCAAATACAGATATCATGGAAGGGGCAAGTGTTTGAAACGGGGAGCCTTGAAGATCCTTGAAGGGCTTGAAGTTTAAGAAATCTTGGCAGTCCTTCTGTCTGGTTTCTTTTGAGCCAAAAATCTTGAGATTCACTTAGCTCGCTTTACTTGGCTTATGTGTCAGCCGTCTTCGTGATGAAGGCATAGAAGCTGGTGGTTATGCTGTTGAGACCTCCAATCAAAACCTAAAAACAGTGGCACTGCACCGAGACGGTGAAAAAGCGGATCACGAATGGGTGTGGAAGGGGTGGCCGGGCTTCACAAGATAGGTTTGCATGCTGATTTTTCTTTAGTATTGATTCATGGTATACATGTCTTTTCAAGTTGTTTTCCACAGGTTCTTGATTCTCAGTGTGCTCTTGCTTGAGTCTGGTGAACAGGCATGGTTACAATCAGCCTCGCCCAAGACACCAATGTGGCTGCCAGAAGGCTGAAGGATTGCCCTAGCCCGACTTCTGCATCCCGGAATCCCAGAATCGTTGCGCTGAGGCTGGGCATGACGAATAAAGGGAAGAAGCCGCAACATCAGGGGCCTATCACCACCTTGAATAGCAGCTCTCAACAGTGCAAGCACGAACCTCAGCTTTTTCAATTCTGGTGCTTTTTTTCGCATGTCTTGTGGCCCAAGGCCAAGCAAGCGCCATGCTGGTATGAAGCGTTGGCAGGCTGGACTCCAGAGCTTGTATTAAATGGGTACAACGACATCCCCCAACTCATTAAATAAAAGGTGGTACAAAAAAATGGTGGATATAAAATATGGAGTACCCCAACGAAACCCTGGTGCAATGTATTCGATCCATAAATGACTTTGGGCCCATGTTTGGAGTGTTTTGTGATTTGATTGGGGGGATGGGATCCACAGCACAATAATTTGATCTTGGGCCCGCAGGGGGTGCAAAGAAGTGATGAAGAAGCGAGAGAGGTTGTCGAGAAGGCTCTTGGATCCTGCGCAGTGGGTCGCTGGGCCTAGCCGTGATGGGGAGCCAGTGTATGGCCATGCAAAGTGATGAGGAAAACGCAGATTATTAAAAGTTATGGCACGGAATTGGGGGTCAAACTTTTGAGTCAGCCCTTTGTGATGCGAGCATTTGATCAACCAGGCAATTTTGGATGGACAACCCAGGATTTTCCCAGAATGAACAGTGCCACCATGTGCCCCTTCAGAAACAGCTTTTCTTGTGAAGTCCACTTAGGTGGCGAAGTGCCAAAGCGGATTGAACCCAGCGGCACAGGAAAGCGAAATCGCAGTCCATCTCCCCTGGTCAGGGTCTGAAGCAGCTCGAAATAGCAGGGAAGTCATCACCTTGGAACCCATGGTCAAAGGTTTATTTGGTCTCCACGATCGCATCACAGGTGTGCTTCTTACCAGCTTTTTCTTCAGCCTGGCACCTTAGGCCGTGAGTAGCCCATCGGGATCAGATGGAGAGAAGGAAGGTGCCCGTCGAAGAAAGCGTTTCAGCAGCCATTGATCTTGAGCAGGGTTAGACCAGCTTCGCTCTTGCTCCACAAATCAATCGCCCTCGCCAGATGGAAAGTTTGAAGCTGCATGGATGGATTCTGATGATGAGAGAGAAGCTGCCAAACTGAATCAAAAGCCATCAGGCCACTTGCTGCTGCAAACTCCAAGATCTCCTAAGCCCTGAGCTATCAGATATCAGTTTGCATGCCCAAGAGTTTGGTTCCAAAACCTGGACATGGAGATATTGGGAAACAGCTCCAAACAACGCTCTTCCAAACCTTTGATCTAGATTCAAATGGCAGATTTTTCAGGATTTTCATGAATTTTCATGGATTTTACCGAGTTTCTCAAATTTTTGGCAGGGTCGCTGACCTGCAGACCTGAAGTGTTTCTGCGCAGGCGGTGATATCGTGGTGGACTTCTTCTAGAGTCTATGGTGCCAGTGTGCGGCCAAAATGGGCCGCACCACTGGGACAGTGGCAGTTGTGTAACTATCCAGATGTAAAGCCTGTCGTAATCAAACGTGGCCATGGAACATCCCCTACAAGTGGAGGTTTCAATTTCAATGGAACATATTCTATGATGGATTTTGCATTGCCACGGTTGATTATCCGAGGGTGTGTTTCCTTTCTAGAATGAAGAGGGGAAAGCACGAACTCCTCTTCGCAGTTGTAAATATTATCCTCCAAATTTGTCCATACGCTGCAGCTGTGTTTTGCTGCTCCTCACTTTGTGCCGGCAAACAGCAAACTGCCGCGCGCCCACGCGCAATATGGTCACATCCGATGAAAATGTCCGACAGAGGTCGAGTCGAAATTCATTGGCACTTTTAGTTCACTGGGCTCCAACATATTTGTCAAAGGTCTGAAATTGATGCAAGGGGTGGGTTCAACTGCTTGCTCTAATATGGCTCAAAGTTCAAGGTGCTTGGCACCTTATGAAGTTGAACACCACCATTTCCAGGCACAGAACATAGCCACAGTTGACTGCTGTCAGGACTCATCATTCATGTTGGTCAAAAACATGCTATAATTATAATATAATATAATATATAATAATATAATATATATACATATGTAATAGTAATACAATATATTATATTATATATAAATATTGACATTGACGTATTTGTTTATTCCTCTGTCGCCAATCCGCAAAAAGTACCGATGCCTTTAATCATCGACGTGGCCCCTTGAGCTGTTGAAGTTGCCAATGCTCCCGCGCTCTCCCGTCTATACTTCCCGGGCCTTTGTGCTCGGGGGTGATGGAGTGGGACAGAGTGCCTTACCCCAACTTTGTCAAGAATGTCCGGACCCCAAGCGTAAAGAAGACAGCTTCTTGCCTCCAAAGACCTTGAACGTGGATGACTTTGTTATGACGAAAGTCGTTTCAGACCTCACACACACACAGACCAACATGATTTTCATTTCAGCAGACAATCCTGCCGAATTTGCGGTTCCCAAGTTAGATTCATGTCCAAGCCGTTCATAGATCTCATGGAGAGCTCCTGCAGGCTGTGGCAGCGAGTGGCCTCAAAGAATGAACCAAAGAGTTCAAGGCGCGACTGTCAAATCTCACAAGTTGTACCATTTTCAGAGCTTCTCAGATCTCTGAAAGTCCCAGGAGCTAGACCCATTCTGATTTTGTTGTCCAGTTTTCCCCAACAGCGTTAGCTTAGGGGTCGCAGCCCAGACAAGGTTCGGTGCAGCCTTTAGCCTTTGGTGAAGGTTTAGGGCTGGTTTCGGGAGGTCTGGTGCAGGTTCCGGGCTGGTTCCAGAGGTCCTGGTGTGGGTTCCGGGCTGGTTACGGGAGGTTCCGCAAATGCTTGACTTTGTTTCACTGCAACTTCAGTTCTGCATTTGGGGTGTATTTCTATATCTTTTTTTGCGCGACGATCCAACATACGTACATTGCAATTGGTTCAAAATGACACGTCCCTTGCCAGGGTTGTAATTGTTTCCACATCTTCCAACTAACCTTTCTGTTGGGGATACCAAGTTCCACTTGAAGTCGGAGGACGTTGGAGGCTTGCTGAGCTCCACCTGTCCAATTCAGGTCCCGGAATGCTGCTGGACGATCCCTTGGGCCGTGGGGCAAGCATCGAGCTCACCTTCGTTGAGGCGCCGGTCCCGCGCTTTTTTTCGGGCCAAACATGTGGAGAAATAACACCTGAATCGCATGGTTTATCATCATTTTCCTTATCATTTTCGCGGTTAAAGCTAGATTTCGTGAGGTCTGCCCCATGTTCGGACAGATCCGAATAGATGCGAGCAATTTAGGGCCTCAGCAGCTTGCGCAGCTTGCAACGTCATTTTTTGCAGTGGTCGTTTGGGCCGTGACGCAGGTGCCTTACTGGTGGGTTGAAGCTGACTTGCGCAGTTGTCTGGAGTCCCAGGGTTACCATTGATTGTTGGGCCTGTAGACATGGGGATTGGCTAGAATTGTCTCTGGTGGGCTGATTGGGAACACAATTTTGATCCATAGCAATACCCGTATCATAATCTTCAAGACATGGCCTCTCGCTCCAATTCAGTTCCTTCCCAACAGTGGAGGTATGGCAGATGGAGCTGGGAACGACTGTGCGCTGCTGGTGGTGGATGTCTGCAACCCCGATAGCTTCAAGGCTGCGGTGACCAGAGGCCTGATCCAAAAGAAATCAACAGATTCTGAGTTGTGTTTCCTCTAGCATGGAAGGTTCCATATTTCCTGGGACCAGCTGGCTCTTAGGCGTGTTTTTCTTGTGAGAGGTAAATGGGCCATGGCAGCAGGGTTGGAGTGTCAACTTGCCGGGCGCTTGGCGGTGCCCAGCGTTAACCAGATCGGTCTGTCATCATGTTCCGCGGACAAAATTTGACTCATGGCTTGGGGGATGGGAGTTCCACCAGCCTGGATTTGAGGTCTTGAGCTTCGCAGGACCCTGTGGTCAAGGAGGGCTGGATGCTGAGCAGAAATATCCTGGAGATCTCCCATTTGCGTCTGATTCTTGCAATATTTTATGGGATACCCGGAGATTTTTTTTGGATGACCAGCCCCTAAGCTTAATCGCTAGCTCAGGTCGCAGGAACGGTTGGTTCCACCTGAGAGTTTGGAGTGGCTTGCAGACGAAGTGAGCGTAGCACAGAGCCCAGGCTACAGTGGTGGATCAGGTGGATCTAAATTCGTCAACAATTCGGGCTTCTGATCCTGACAAATCAAATAAATCAAGACTTAGAAACCAGGAATCGAAATTCATCCATAGAAATCCACACTTCTCACTTAGTCTCACTTCTCACTCTTTCTTTTTGCTTCCTTTCAGCCTAGGGGCTGAAGTCAACTGGACAGTCTGTAGACGTCGGAGTCACCCTGTTGCATCTCCATGCCACAAACCTGGATATTTTAGTAGTCTAGATATTTCTAGATATTCTAGGATGAATTGGCAAAATTTTCGCATGCTCGTGTTGTAGCAGATGGTTCCCGATGGTTTCTGGGAACCATCTGCTCGTGTTGATCATTGTAACTGAGGTAAAACCGGCGCATTTCGACTGCACTCAGGTGGGGCCGAGGAGACGTCCTCGTGGCTGTTCTGGGGATGGGTCCTGTATTTTTTTGTGGGCCAATTGCTGGGAATCAAACCATGGAATTTTGGGTGCAAAAAAAAAATACTGAAACCTGAAACCTATGATTTATGTATTTACGTCATTGGTTTCATGATTTAGGTCTTAGCCAGCTTTATGTTCGCAGGGAAATTGGGGTGACAGCCTGACAGCGCCAGCTTTTCCGCGGCTCTTCAGGCCAATGGAGCTGCAAACATGATGTTTCAAGTGGAGACCTGCTGGCATGTGATGCTCAAATGGCTTTCCAGGTTGAGATCCAACCCCCAAGGGACCTAGGTGACCTAACCCTCTGTTGTCGGTTAGTTAGTTATGTTACTTGGGATTCCATAGTGGAAGCTATCCAGAAGAGGTTGTGGCAACGGAATCTCGCAATCTGCCAGGCTCTTCTTGAAGGTGCTGACACTACGACTGCTTTGGCTCAATCTGACATCCCTTGGTAGCCTGGGTAAGGCACCTCTTGGGCATGTGCCTTAAAAATGGACCCACCAGCAACTGGATCAGGGTGACAACGTAGAATTGTTCTTGTTCTTGTTAGAAGGGAGGAGTGGGCTTGTGATTGTAAAGCACGAGAACATGTTTATAGTTGCTCCAAAGTTGCAAATCTGCCTGTAGTGGGGGTACCAATAGCTCAGATAGTTTTGAATCGAAGTTGACCCAACCAACTCAACCGTCTGGGTCCCGGCCAGTTTAGAGCCTATGCAAAATTCTGGAAAGGTCCCAAGACATCGCAAAGCTGGGTGGACGAACATCAATTTGAAGGGGATGAACATCCATTTGCCACTTATTTTGATATGAAACCCAGGAACCTGACGGGTTTGATCCATGGCCACTGCCCTAGATCTCTGGTCTCTACACTCCCTCCACCTCGACACCATCTCGAATGTGGACCGGGCCCACGCAGCGGGCTGAGCTCAGGAACTAATGCTCCAACCTGTCATGGGTAATAGCCACAAGGGGAATCAAGTTTGTAGTTTTATCTCTTTACACCCTGCCTTGTACCTCGGGGTGTTGGAAGCAACTCTCCCAGCAATGTTCAAGACCTCCAAAATTTGGGGCCCCCATGGGCGCCTGGACCCGATGGCAAGCCGCAAAGGTTGAGCTCCAGAGCGGATCCGGCTGGAAGCTGATGAACATCTGCAGATGGCAAGTGGCAGATGGTAGGTACTTGACATGAACAATATCTGTGGTATGCTCGCTCTTGAAATTTGTTCACCCATGCGGCTTCTTGGACCATCACAGACCCCTTTGAAATAGCCAGGCCTCCATTCTGGGCTCGTGTCATCGACCGAAAATAGCCACAGCTGAGGCTCCAAATGTGCGTCAGCTGCGCGGCTGCAATTCAGATCACAGGATGACAGGATGGTCCGAAGAGAATCAGCCTGCCTTTTTCATCGCACCAACTCACCATTGTCCCTGAAGAATCCTGAAGAGTTGAACATGAAGTTATGAGGAATGATTGTACCAAGAAATCAGGCATTTAACTGCAACCCCTTCTTGAAAGATAAACATCAAGAGCTTCCAGCAGGCAAACGAGCCGAAGTCCCGGGCCTCCCAGATGTGCGACTTGGAGATTTCGAAGAGGCAGTTTTTGGTGGAATCTCAACCGTTCAACCAGACATGTTCCAAATTGGGGACCCCTTTAAGCAATGCGGACGAAATTCGTGGGGATATCGCCAAGAAAAGTGGGGAGCTAGTCCATTCCGACGGTCCAGGAGTGAATGGTCTGACATTTACCCATTTAGCATGACAGCCTGCAGGCTGGGAGTTGATATCTATAGATAGAATGGGCTAGCGCCCTGGTGCCGCCGACCCCCCCCATTCGGGGGGTCCTGTAAAGAGGGGGAGAGAGAGAGAGAGATAGATAGATAGATAGATAGACAGATAGACAGACAGACAGACAGACAGATAGATAGATAGACAGGCTGCAATGCTGGAACAGCAAAAGGTGACGGCCAGAGGGCTTGGTGGAAGCTGCCGCGAGGGGGTTGGAGGGTTTTAAGGGTTTTAAGGGTTTTAAGCGTTTGAAGCCTGGCAAACGGCAGGCTTGAATGCCCTAACAAGAGAGGGCTATGTGCAGGCAAAGGGCAGGCTGCAATGCTGGAACGCTGACGGCCTGAGGGCTTGGTGGTAGCTGCCGCGAGGGATTTGGAGCGTTTTAAGGGTTTTTTAAATGCACATTGGGGAAGCAGGCGACCCATTGACAGCTTACATTGCAATAACGCGAGTCCAAGACAGGTATGGTTCCCTGCAGCACCATTTCAAAAAGGGGCAAAAGTAGGGCGGGAATTGCTGTTGCGGTTCTGGGGTGGTGAAAAAATGGATTGGAGGGCGCTGCGAGCGAAATACCGAGACGAAAGACAATGCAAAGAATGTAATGAAGCAAAGCCGGCGTCTGCATTCACGGCTGGTCGATGGAAACGAGCAGATGCGGCGAGAGTATGCAAGGAATGCATTCGTAGGCACGTTGAGGCGCAGCAGCCGTGGCAATGCATGGCCTGCACGGCGTGGAAACAGGAAGATGCATTCAAGACAGAACATGCAAGGCCACAAGCCACATTTTATCGTATTTGTAAGACGTGCGAACAGACACAAGTGTGTAGTGTTTGCAATACGCGCAAGGACGAAAAGAAATTTTCTGGCGGGGCCTGGAAACGAGCACGCAGGGGCGGTAGAGTGTGCTTAGATTGTTCGGGTAAAGCATGGGGCTGGTGGAGATGCAGCGTCTGCAAGGTAAAGCAAGCAGCGTGCGCTTTTGAATCCTGGCTGGCGCAACATCGTTCTTGTAATGGTGACCAAGTCTGTAGCAACTGCTGGCAGTGCCCCATTCCCCGGGGAAGCATCAGCAAAGCGGTACAGCGGGTAGCGGCAACGCAGGCGAAAGTCGCGCGGAGGGCAGCGGAAGAAAAAAAGGCACGCGCCATCGCCGATGTCTGGGATGCCATCGCGGAACGAAAACGGAATAGAGAACAGGAGAGCCCCCAAACGAAGGAAGCAGAGCCGAAGACAAAACAGCGCAGACAAGAGAACAGAACAGAAATGACCACAGAAGGGCCTGCAGATGTACATGGCCAACAGGACGACAGCAACGGACGGCAGAGGGCGGTGCGGCCAACGAAGGCAGCAGAAGCCATGGCCAAAGGCAAGATTTTCCAATACGTGTGTCCGCATTGCAAGCAGCCTGTAAACAGTACTATACGAACAGGCCAAGTCAATCACCGCCGCACATGCGGTAACTCTTTCGGAGTCAGGGAAGGACGCCCCTGTGCGAAACAGTATGACTACGTTTGTCCCGCTTGCAATGGGCATGTAGCCAGTAACGTGGCGACAGGGCAAATTAACCATCGAACAGTCTGCGGGAACCAATTTTCTGTTCAGGATGGGGTTGTTACAGAGAAAGGCGTAGTTTACAGGTGTCCATTTTGCAAGGGAAATGTGAGAAGCGATGTCAGGACAGGGCAAGTAGACCATCGAACAGTCTGTGGGAACCAATTTTCTGTTCAGGATGGGGTTGTTACAGAGAAAGGCGTAGTGTACAGGTGTCCATTTTGCAAGGGAAATGTCAGAAGCGACGTCAGGACAGGGAGAATCGACCATCGAACAGTCTGTGGGAACCAATTTTATGTGAAGGACAGTGCGGTCAGCAAGAACACACGGTGTCATGCGCACAGCTGCCCCGTGTGCTCAACTGTTGTTTGGTCATCGCAGTCATGTGGGCGCATTGCGGTGACGCATGTCACGCCCTCGGGAAAACGATGCCAGATGAAACATTGGCACGTTCCCGACAATAAGGCAAAGAAAAAAAGGAAATGAAATAGAAAGACTGCGCTTGCCGTAGGAACAGATGGCAATGGCAAGACCTCTGCAGCGAAGCATTTGCGAGGTGTGAAAGCTGGCAAACGGAAAGAATGTACGCGGTAACAACAGACGCGATGGAAGCAAACGGCTGGCTTCAACGTTCGAACAACAAATGCCTGCGGCCAGAGTACCTGGTGGAAGCTGCCGCGAGAGATTTTGAAGGTTGTAACGATTTGAAGGCTTGGAGAAGGCTATGTACACGCAAAGGGCAGGCTGCAATGCTGGAACAGCAAAGGCTGACGGCCAGAGGGCTTGGTGGCAGCTGCCGCGAGGAAGCAGTGCAGCATTTGGAGGGTTGTAAGGGTTTGGAGGGTTGTAAGGGTTTGGAGCGTTTGAAGGGGCTTGGTGGCAGGTGGTGCGAGGGATTTGGAGGGTTTTAAGAGTTTTAAGCGTTGGAAGCCTGGCAAACGGCAGGCTCGAATGCCCTAACAAGAGAGGGCTATGTGCAGGCAAAGGGCAGGCTGCAACCCTGGAGCAGCAAAGGCTGACGGCCAGAGGCCTTGGTGGAAGCTGCCGCGGAGGGTTTGAGGGGTTTTAAGGGTTTGAAGGCTGGCAAACGGCAGGCTCGAATGCCCTAACGAGAGAGGGCTATGTGCAGGCAAAGGAGGGTTTTAAGGGTTTTAAGCGTTTGAAGCCTGGGAAATGGCAGGCTCGAATGCCCTAACAAGAGAGGGCTATGTGCAGGCAAAGGGCAGGCTGCAATGCTGGAACGCTGACGGCCAGGAGCTTGGTAGAAGCTGCCGCGAGGGATGTGCAGGAAAAGGGCAGGCTGCAAACCTGGAACAGCAAAGGCTGACGGCCAGAGGGCTTGGTGGAAGCTGCCGCGGAGGGTTTGAGGGGTTTTAAGGGTTTGAAGGCTGGCAAACGGCAGGCTCGAGTGCCCTAACGAGAGAGGGCTATGTGCAGGCAAAGGAGGGTTTTAAGGGTTTTAAGCATTTGAAGCCTGGCAAACGGCAGGCTCGAATGCCCTAACAAGAGAGGGCTATGTGCAGGCAAAGGGCAGGCTGCAATGCTGGAGCGCTGACGGCCAGGAGCTTGGTGAAGGCAAAGGCTGACGGCCAGAGGGCTTGGTGGAAGCTGCCGCGGAGGGTTTGAGGGGTTTTAAGGGTTTGAAGGCTGGCAAACGGCAGGCTCGAATGCCCTAACGAGAGAGGGCTATGTGCAGGCAAAGGAGGGTTTTAAGGGTTTTAAGCGTTTGAAGCCTGGCAAACGGCAGGCTCGAATGCCCTAACAAGAGAGGGCTATGTGCAGGCAAAGGGCAGGCTGCAATGCTGGAGCGCTGACGGCCAGGAGCTTGGTGAAGGCAAAGGCTGACGGCCAGAGGGCTTGGTGGAAGCTGCCGCGGAGGGTTTGAGGGGTTTTAAGGGTTTGAAGGCTGGCAAACGGCAGGCTCGAATGCCCTAACGAGAGAGGGCTATGTGCAGGCAAAGGAGGGTTTTAAGGGTTTTAAGCGTTTGAAGCCTGGCAAACGGCAGGCTCGAATGCCCTAACAAGAGAGGGCTATGTGCAGGCAAAGGGCAGGCTGCAACCCTGGAGCAGCAAAGGCTGACGGCCAGAGGCCTTGGTGGAAGCTGCCGCGGAGGGTTTGAGGGGTTTTAAGGGTTTGAAGGCTGGCAAACGGCAGGCTCGAATGCCCTAACGAGAGAGGGCTATGTGCAGGCAAAGGAGGGTTTTAAGGGTTTTAAGCGTTTGAAGCCTGGCAAACGGCAGGCTCGAATGCCCTAACAAGAGAGGGCTATGTGCAGGCAAAGGGCAGGCTGCAATGCTGGAGCGCTGACGGCCAGGAGCTTGGTGAAGGCAAAGGCTGACGGCCAGAGGGCTTGGTGGAAGCTGCCGCGGAGGGTTTGAGGGGTTTTAAGGGTTTGAAGGCTGGCAAACGGCAGGCTCGAATGCCCTAACGAGAGAGGGCTATGTGCAGGCAAAGGAGGGTTTCAAGGGTTTTAAGCGTTTGAAGCCTGGCAAACGGCAGGCTCGAATGCCCTAACAAGAGAGGGCTATGTGCAGGCAAAGGGCAGGCTGCAACCCTGGAGAAGCAAAGGGCAAAGGCTGACGGCCAGAGGCCTTGGTGGAAGCTGCCGCGGAGGGTTTGAGGGGTTTTAAGGGTTTGAAGGCTGGCAAACGGCAGGCTCGAATGCCCTAACAAGAGAGGGCTATGTGCAGGCAAAGGGCAGGCTGCAATGCTGGAACGCTGACGGCCAGGAGCTTGGTAGAAGCTGCCGCGAGGGATGTGCAGGAAAAGGGCAGGCTGCAAACCTGGAACAGCAAAGGCTGACGGCCAGAGGGCTTGGTGGAAGCTGCCGCGGAGGGTTTGAGGGGTTTTAAGGGTTGGAAGGCTGGCAAACGGCAGGCTCGAATGCCCTAACGAGAGAGGGCTATGTGCAGGCAAAGGAGGGTTTTAAGGGTTTTAAGCGTTTGAAGCCTGGCAAACGGCAGGCTCGAATGCCCTAACAAGAGACGGCTATGTGCAGGCAAAGGGCAGGCTGCAATGCTGGAGCGCTGACGGCCAGGAGCTTGGTGAAGGCAAAGGCTGACGGCCAGAGGGCTTGGTGGAAGC